ACTGTACAGAAGAAAACTATAAATCGATGGATTTCTGTAATTCATAAACGAAGATATCTGGAGTGGAGGATGAGGTGTCGGGCAACAATATACATCAGATACAATATGTAATAAATTTATTTAGTTAAAAATAGATTTGTTATATTTATTCAGTGTAGTCGCGATTTCTTTTTTAAAAGAGGCGACAGAAGGTAGAGGCGTGAGGTTAAGTGAACCCAAGTCGTCAGCTACGTGTCCTCTTGTCCAGTACCAGACACAGGTGAGGTAGGAGAGTTGTGTCTCTTCGTTTTGTTTGAAAATTTGTGAGCCAGTTGTGACTCTCCTCAAGCCAAGTATATGTGTGTGTGTGTGTGTGTTTACCTGGAGATGATCAATTAATCTGAATGGTAAACAAAGTAGCGGTGAACTTGCCGTTGTGGCGGTGTAACTCCTTTTAACATAACATCTTTCCATGCCCTCCATCATGGCGTTAATAGCCAACAACCAATAAACTTCTACCAATTACAACGATTGCCTAGAATACCAAAAGTGGGAGGAGCTTGTTAACATGTCAGTTACTGCGTCCCCCAACGTCGCCCCCGGTGGTGAGGTTCGTGCCACGCCCGAGGCCTTGGCGTTGGTGGCCCTGTGGGAGGATGAGTCGAAGTTCTCGCCGTAGTCTGGTCCGCGGTAGTTATTGTGTTGACGACGGCGGCCGTACGGGTACTTGTGTCCCCCTCGGCGGTACAATCTCCTCGGTAGCGATCTCCGCGACTCTGAGGACGCCCATAGACGCGACGCTCCCAGGGGTTATCGTAGTCATACAGTCCCCGCTTACTGCATGAGGGACTGGGTGGTTTCACCTGGGGGATGAGTTGGAGGCGTGGCAACTTTGGGGGTGTGTCCACGCTCACAGAGTACACGCCATCTGTCGAAAGATATGAAATTAAACATAATTTTCTATCTATCAGCTCTTGAGATTCAATGTTATATATAATATGCTCAAAATATACTGAAGGAATACCCTAAGTACGTAATACAAATATTCAAGATATTCTGGTAAAAACTTTAATTATTAGTCATAATATTGTGTTGGAATTACGCAAGTAAGACGTTAAAAACTAAAATACAATAACCTGAAAAATTACAGCTCTAACGCCATCTTTCTTCTACTCTGCGTTTACTACATCATTTCACCATAAATACAAACGCCCAGATAATATCTTTCCTATAAGTCTCTCATTTTCTCACTACACCACCATATGTCTCTCTCTCGCCCTGTTCTCTATTATACCTCGTAGTTCATTCAATGTGTTTTGGTCTACCTCCTTGGTTCACCGTTTCTGTTCTCTCTTGCTACTAACTTCCTTCCCTTCTTGAATATCTGTTGACCCGGATATAGAAATAACAAATAACAGTACCTTTACCTGTATAACTGGACCTTTAAACTACTGTATGGTCTAGTGTGTATTCTGAGTTAGTAGATACATTAGTCATCAACAACTGACTATTTAGGGATATCCATCATGTTTTTGTTGTAAATTTAACCCTGACGTTACATCCCTGGGTTAGTGACGTCACTTCTTACCTGTGTCAATTAGCTGGTACACTGGTGCAGGTGGTTGGGGGTGGGAGAGAGTGGGCGGGAGAAGGCAGGCCGCCCCTACCACCACCAAAACAAACAGCATCCTGACGCAAGATCTAAACTGACTCCCGACATGCTACACCAAATATATATATATATATATATATATATATATATATATATATATATATATATATATATATATATATATATATATATATATATATATATATATATATATATATATATATTACACCTCTGGAGTGACGTAAACCTTGACGCAGAGCACAGTCTTTGGTCCTTGTGACGTACGACCATTTCCTAGAAGTATTCCTCGCCTTACCGTAGATGATGTTTATGGCCATTGTGTTAGGCTATACGACGCAGATGAAAATTGTTTCCAAGAAATTGTCGTTATCTTTGTTAAATATTCGACGAAATAGAAGTGTAAGGTCAGCTATTGAGCCTTTAGTATGCAAAGTAAAAAAAAAAAGTAGTGGTAAACTTGCCAGATCAGGCGCTAGAAACGACGCTCCTCGTGGTACTTTAATGCGGGCGACCGGAAACGACAAGATGATGTTGAACGAGTGTTTAAACCACAGCATCCTGGAGAGTCGTACATCTGTCTGTCCTCCCTCATCTGTGTCGACCATCGTAATGACACCCAGCCAGAGCCAGGTTTCCTCTTTACTGCTGTATTTTTGTTTGTTTCAAGAGATTGATTATCTTACTCAAGTGAATTGATCGTTGTACTCAAGAGGTTGTTTACCTTACTAGAGGAACTGGTTCATTGTGCTAAAACAATTTTCACTGCACTCAAATGGTTGATCGTCTTACTCAAGGAATTGATTCATTATACTCAGGAAACTGAGTCATTTTATTTAATATATTGATTTATAGTTCTTAAGGAGCTGAGAAAAATTGATTAGGTTAGGTTAGGTTGGTTCGTATCGTTTGTAAAATTAATAAGCTCAGCGATCGTGGTCGTGGTATTTTCGTTACACCAACCATTTTGCGTGAGCGCTATCTTTGTGTTTGTTCTCTTTATTGTTACTGTGGGAACCAAGTGATAGGGTTGGTCGATAGAGGCAATGGATATATGTGGGTACTTTTTGCATGCCCAAGAAGTACGACTACCCAAGGCTGTGTGTATATGCGACTGGTGAGTAGGCCTTCTGAATCTGAAAGTCTTAGGTCATTTTTTGCCAAATGTGAAGGTCGTGCAGGGGAAAAAATATCCCTTGACGCTACGGGAATTGTACAGTATAGAATATGAATGTTGATTATTTGGCTGTAAAAAACAAACATGTGCTACTGATCGAACGAGTCAAGAGTCTGAAATATGGAATCACCTGAAAATTAGGAATCCTAGTTTATTTTACCTGATGATTAAATTAAGTCATATTTGGTTCGCTTTATGGTGGTTAATCTTAGGGTGAAGTAAGCTGGGGGTTAATGTTTATGTGATCCTAAATATGTAACTAGAACACTGAGAACTACTTTGAATAAACTAGAGTCTAGACACCTACAGTTGGATATTTTAGTGAAGTTTGAGGCTTAGTTTGGTCTAGTCGGACAATAGCCTTGTATCCATACCTAAGTCTTTAAAGCCTGTGTGGTCGAACTTGAATTTAAAATACACATGAAATAACTAAAGATTATCACTACTATTAGGTATTTGACATTTTATAAGTCTACAACTAGTAGGGTTTATTTTCTTCTAAATTATGTTTCATGTAAGAGACGAGTGTAACAAGTGTTGAAGTACGTGTACCCTTCTGTAATATCTGAATAAAGTAAGGTTCTCCCCGGGATAATGACAACACCATTTTCTCTCATGAATCACGACACAACTTACTCGACTGATAATAAACGAGCTCTCTTGTGGGCGCTCTTTAACTTCTTACTAATAAGTCTCGTAAATTTTCTGCTTATATATGGTCAATTTATTTTTTCACCAGACTCTCTTCTTTATGGGAAATTTTACGCGATAAAATATTACCAACACTGAAAGAACCTTTGTCCATAAAACTTCCTCTCTGCTTCTCTGGTAAATATTGATGGACCTTCTCTCCGTCTGTCCGTCCCTCTCTACCTCCCTCCCAAGAAATCAATCCCTATAGCCAAGCTAGTCGAAAAATAAAAGATGAGAATATATTTTTTTATTTAATGCAATTTGCCCTTGGACTTTTATCTCTTATAGTAAGGACTATTGGGTTTGGATCTTAGAACATCAGAATAATAAACTACTTCTCTCGGTGATCACTTCAGCCACGTCATGGCGAGTGGTAGAAGCTAACAGACTAACCTAAAACTGGCCTGAAACAGAAGGTTCACCTACCTTTTTATGTCATCCCTCTATGGCACAGCTTCCCTATCAGCAGCTGCTTCACACAACTTTTTCTTGGGGGCGATACAGCCTTCCAAACATTAAAACACTCACGCATTTTTTTTTCTTTTCATGCACAACTATTAGGGTTACAGTGTCTTGATGGATGAGTTTCAACGAAACAAGGGAAAATGTTACTCAGGAACGTCCAGAAGCCAGATTTCCGAGCGTCCAGCTGAATTTCAAATGGACACCAAGTCTACAAAATCCCTTTTGATCCAATGATTTACGTCCCTTTAACATGTTATCACACTCACAGCCTGTTTATTCTGACATCAAAGCTGTCACTGCTACTATTTCACCTGACTGTTGAGGAACATTTGTCGCAGTATTTCACAAAAAAGGGAGAGGATGGCGCAAGAAAATTTTAATATTTATAATGACTAATGATTTTTAGCATTCTTTGACGACGGAGAGTCCCAGTGAGTACACAGCCCATGTTAGACTTGGCCTTCTTCATAAAAGAAGACAACGTGGTTGGCATTGTACTTGACAACCTTCCATTCCCAAATGTAATAAAACCTAATTTGCTAAAAAAAAATTGCCCTTTGTAACATAACGTCAAACACACTAAAGTGACAGAGCCTGACACATTAAGTAAAGTGCCCAAGACTCATAACACTTCAGTAAGACGCCTGGAAATTTTAAACCAAGGGCTCCGGACACACCTTTATTGTAGGCTGAAGAACACCTTTCGCTGTTTCCTTTAGGGATTAAAACGTATTTCATAACCCATGTTTATTTGGGTTCCTGTTTTTTTTTATAACCAATGTTCACTCTTATAGCATTTTTTTAATCTTACCATTGTTAACTTGAAGTATTATGACCAATTATCAGAGCGATCATTAACCTGGGTAATTAACACCCAGCTCTTAATGGATACCTAACTTTACATGTTGGGGAAATGAAGGCGATCGAGTAGTGTCGGCCATGCTGCCTCTTTGTGTACTGAAGGCTTAGTCCACACTGTCCCTAACGGGCAGTCATGCCTATGGACCCATCTTCAGTTTTCAACATAATCGCTGTTCACTTGGGTAATTAACACACTTTAACATAACCACTGTTTACTTTTTCAGTTAACACACATTAACACATTGGAGAAAAGTCTACATTCTCCAAATACAGCAAGATTGATTGATTTTGATAATTACAGCCCTGGCGACGCAAATACAACAAGATATTGCAGTACTGTATAATGTAGAGCACAGCGTAAGCCACCTAGGCCCCAATCACCTAAACACTATTCTGGTCAGGTGATTGTCCAATCTTCTTCACACTCTTTCAGTTAACGTTGATTTAGGTAGAAAATATCAAGGTTGGTCATGTATAGATATCAAGCGAAGTCGACTTATTGGTAGGTAAATAGATGGAGACATGTTGGTAGATAGATAGATAGATAGATAGATAGATAGATAGATAGTTAGTGACATAATAGCTGTAGAAATTAGTAGACAATACAGAGATAATGGTATAGTAATATAAAGATAATAGCAGAAACTGGGCATTAATGGTAGAATGATATATACAAAAAGTTAGAAAATCTGGCATAATTGCATTTGAAAATTGTACATATAATGGTAGATAGTAGATTGTTGTAGACGTAATGGTAGTAGATAGTTGTAGACGTAATGATAGTGGATAGTTGTAGACGTAATGGTAGTAGATAATTAATTATAGACGTAATGGTAAGAGTTGTATACGTAATGGTGGTTGATAATTGTATACGTAATGGTGGTAGATAGTTGTATACGTAATGGTGGTAGATAATTGTATACGTATGGTGGTAGATAGTTGTAGAACGTAATGGTGGTAGATAGTTGTATACGTAATGGTAGTAGATAGCTGTAGAAATAATGATAGTAGATAGTTGTAGACGTAATGGAAGTAGATAGTTGTATACGTATGGTGGTAGATAGTTGTAGAACGTAATGGTGGTAGATAGTTGCAGACGTAATGGTAGTAGATAGTTGTAGACGTAATGGTAGTAGATAGTTGTAGACGTAATGGTGGTAAATAACTACAAACAAAATGGTAACAGATAACAGAACACGTAAATAGCAAGAGAAAACAACTGACGCAACAACCCCTAACACAACTACTCAAAACCATTCAGATCCGTGGAACACATAAACGGTGCTTTTTAAATAGATACCTTTAACTTTTCTTGGTGCTGATTACAGATAAGAAGAACCTATGAACAAACTAAGCATGCACATACAAATCACTAATCCTACATACATCAGTCGACTGCAGGATATTACAGTACGTCAGCTGTTAATGAAGGTGAACCCCTTTCTTTTCCGTCTTTAACATGTGCCAGATATATAAAAAAATAACACCTGTGTTAACTTGTCAATGTTGAGTTTTGGCGAGATTAATATAGCAAGATAATTATGTCCCGTGTGTCTTTTAAACTTATAGCCAGAAAGGGATGCCAAAGTAAATAAATTTATATATATATATATATATATATATATATATATATATATATATATATATATATATATATATATATATATATATATTGAAAGACTCAATGTTTTGGCCTTATGCCGTCGAATGATGCTTGTTTATATAAACTTAGTCATCTGAGGTAACATACATATGCAAATATTGCAATATTTTAGCAGTAAGGATACAGGTACTACAGTTTTGTTAGTTACTATTACACCTAATAACATAAATTATACATAAGTGCAAAAGGATCAACATGATAGTGACGCTCTCAGTTGTGCGCATAATTCAAAGACTCGCGTTCAGGCTTTGAAAAAAACGAAGCATGAATCGGAAGGTTAAACCATCAAAAAGTCATTACAGGTAAAAAAAAAAAAGCTTATCAAAAGTACTGTACTAGAGTATTATTTAATTCAAGTTATCTCAACTTTACTAGCATTCTAAGACTCGCGTTTGGAACTTCGAAGAAGTGAAGTGAGTAGTAAAATTAATCTATGTTAAATTTCAGCATGTCCACCAGGGGAAAATACTGAATATCAGAAACACTAAAACATTTACATATCTAGAGTTATCTGTGACATCCAGGGCGGTGGACGCGTGCTGCACTGCTCCACGCGCTCCCTCAATCTCTACAGTACACTCACCCTACTCGTGCCTCTGGTTCTTCAGGAGTCTTTGCTGGTACCGCTTCACGAACTTTGCGATCTTTTTGACGCTGAGTCTCCTGTCGACTAAACGACCATAGCGCTCTGCTGCCTCCTCATTGCTATGATTGAGGGCGTACTGTGCGATCTCCCATTTCTGATTCTTGGAGAGCTTTTTCTTGACTTCGCGGCGCCCTGTCTTACTCTTCCTGTTCGAGGTGCTGGGCGAGTCGTATGTATCCGAGGTGTGAGTGATCCCGTAGGAGCGTGAGTTGCCTAATGACCGAGAAGTGCCGGTGATAGTGGAAGCGGAGGAGGCGACGGGTGTGCCAAATACCGCCGGAGAGTCAGCGATGTCAGAGGATCGAGAGGAGGTACCGGAGGTGCTAGAGGAACTGGGAGAGCTGGAGGAGGTGGAGGAGGAGGAAGAGGTGTCCGATGAACCACCGTTGTGTGAGGCAGTGGGTATATCTTCATTTCTAGACCGAAAGGGCCACGAATAATCGTTGACGCCGTAGTCAGGACCATTGCCCTGACCGCCTCCACGGCGGCGACTGTACGGGTCACTGCCGCCGCCACGCCGCCCCACGCCGCTGTAGCCGCCGCCGCCACCAAAGATTACCTTCCGTTTGAAGCGGTCGTTACTTTCATGCCCCTTGCTATCATCCTCATCCTCTTCGGAATCCAGGTCCAAACCGTTGTCATCATCGTCGTTGTTGCCGTCTTCACTGTCGTCGTAGTCGTCGTCATCGTAGTATAGATGGTCGGGATCTCCAGGATCTAAGAAGTCATCGGTGGGTATGGTGTCGTACTCCTGCTGGTGTTGCAGAATGTCAATTAGCGGCCCGGTGTCCCCGGGCTTCACTTCTGACGTGTCCTCGTCGCTCGTCCACTGATCCAGTGTTGTTTTAGAAGCATCATCTGAGGAACACACCACAGCATGAGGCAGAGTATACATAATTGATTGTTTTCTATCACATGCAACTATAATAATACTGTAATAATTTAATATTACTACTACTAATAATAATATTCTTGAATAATAATAGCAATAATATTTATAATAGTAATAAGCAAATTTGTAAAAATTATAATAATAATAATAATAATAATAATAATAATAATAATAATAATAATAATAATAATAATAATAATAATAATAATAATAATAATAATAATAATATTAATAATAATAATATACAGTAATGTAGGTTGTGATCGTGATGACTGGGTTCCCTTCAGTTATCCACCTGGTACGAGATTTTTTTATTTATTTATATACTTTTTTTTTACGGGGGATAGCCCACTCGGGCACAGGTTACTCGACCCACAACGGAGCCTGGGGGGCTGAAAAGATAAGAATAAAACAAAAATAAAAATAGAAAAGAAAAAGATTATATTAATCTACACCACGAAGATGTCGGAAAACCAGCTTTGATATCTACATCCTACAATACCAATTTAGGAATTAAGTGCATATTAACACAAGGTAAAGCACACTAAAGCTTGGTGATACGATAAGACTCGATGATATACGTTATCTAACCACACATCGTCACATTATAATTACAGGTAAATATATTTGCCCCGAAAACCTTAAGAAACACATTTTAATATCATCTATCCAACAGCATCACTAGCAGAATCAAGTCACTTAAAGGTTAAAGATATAGTTCCCAGAACACCACCAGTATGGCGACATGTACCAAAACAGACCACAGGATGGTAACATCTCAAGTTAGAAGTGTATCACTTAAATGTACTACTCAGAAATGATGAACCTTTCTTGTATGTATGTTACGCTCTTTTTTTGCAAAATCGGTCTCTTTGGATAAAGGCCGGTCAATTTAATAACAGTCCAAAAACTCAGTCGTTTTGCGTCATGACCGTAAATACTCTGCCACTTAGCAAAAAGGTTACAATATTGACCATTTTTCAACATGACTACCAATCATGCTGGTCATTTTGAAAAACGGCCTATCAATATTTTGACCTTGTCATATCACAGCTATGACACCAATAATGGCGAATGTCATATTTAAGATATGACACGGTAAGAGAGAGGATTCGTTGTCCGTTAAAGAAATATTTTGTTGAGTAGTCTAATCACTAGTCATGCCATAGCCTCATTCCTCTCTGGATCAGCCAATCCTGAGGCAGTAGCAACACCAGGGTAAGTATATGTGCCTGACCTGTCCTTCCCGCGTCCCACTCATTACCGAGAGTTCCCGTGTGGTGTGATGCTTACTTGCCAAAGTATGCATGGAAGAAAGAAGAAGTTTGATCTAATTCTGGCCGAAGCAGATAAAGGAAAGGTGGACAACGCATTACGCTTGTGGCCAAAGGATGAGTACGAACGCATTATAAATCATTTGAGTGAATTTGAAAAACCTGAGGTGAAGATTACTCAGGACTATCACAGTTGAAGGGACGACTGTGCGAAAGCTTTAATAAAGGGGAACCGTTTTTTTTTACAGGGAATAGCTCACCCGGGCACAGGTCATCGACCCACAACGGGGCCTGGGGGGTGAAAATTTTTGAGTAAAAGGAAATTAAAAATAGAAGAGAAAAACGACTATATTAATCTACACGACGAAGGTGCCGGAAAACCAGCTATTTGAAGTTCTTAGGAGACAAAAATATCCTTTACAAAGCTACCAGTGAAAAATATGTTATCATTACAATAGCCCAAATAACGCTGTACAGTTAGAAGCAGTAATTGCTACCCCCATTAGACGGAGCCATAGTCAGTGAAGGCCGATATTGACACAATGCAACATCACCAGCAACGATAGTTCCAAAACTATACCCAGCAACGTTTAGACAGGGGCGCAGGGGGGAGGGGCCGCAACCTTCACTTATCATTGCGTAAAACGACCGGGTTTTGACCTGTTTACAAATTGGCCTTATTCCAAAACTTTACAAAATGACCGTAATCATATATATATATATATATATATATATATATATATATATATATATATATATATATATATATATATATATATATATATATATATATATATATATATATATATATATATATATATATATATATATATATATATATATATATATATATATATATTTTTTTTTTTTTTTTTTTTTTTTTTAGGAGTTAGCCCACTCGGCCACAGTTCAATGACCTAACCTTATGTAGATTAGGTTAGGTTAGGTTAAGTTTGCTATGAAACTAATCATTCATATGTAGTATGATGGTCTATAATTCTAAATGATCGTCTATGGTCAATCGGTTAAAAAAATACATAGAAGTTATCGCTATGGTACTCCTACAACAAGGCTCCAGAGTTACCCTTCTAACTCAACACAAGCCATGCAGCATCATTCACCTGTATCTCGCGTCCCACCCTAAGGATTACTCGGCGTTATGATCTCTGTTCCTTTACACACATTACTGCTTCATGAATGCCCCCCCCGTCTCTCTCGTCCAGTGCATCTTTTACCCTTCCCCTTCCCCTCCCTCTCAAACACAACATTTCTGTTGTTTCCTCTTTCTTCTTGCATCCAGAGTCCATAAAATAATGTCGGTTTAACAATACATACCCATCTCTATATCTTCATTGACACAGTTCTCTCTCTCTCTCTCTCTCTTTCCTTACATTCCACAAATTACCTTCTTTCCATCTGCTATTCTGTTTCTATTCATTATTCATCGTACCATTTGGTGGCATTTCCCTTCCCAGATATCTGAAATGTTCAACATTTTACATTACATCTCCATTCAAGCTAACAGTTGAGTCTTCCTGTCAACCTCTTACAATATTTTTTCTTACTTTACATTTGTTAATAATTCAGTGTACAATATCTCCTATAGTTTATCCTCTTCCTCTCTCACTCACTAATATTTGAAACAGTGTCTTTCGTGTCACCCATTAGCACAGTGTTATCCGCATACAGTTGCTGACGCACCTTCCACCCAGAGCCAATATCTTTACTCACAAAATTTACAATATTCTTTACCATGATTGCTCTTACCTCTCATACTACACCGTTCTTAAACCTGCTGTTCACTCGTACTGACTAATGCAAACGCTTGATCTATAAATCCTCACCTAACCTAACCAAACGTAACCTAACCTAACTTAACACTTTATTTTTTTCTCACAATAGCCATACTAGTAAAAATTATTCATTTCGCTTCCAAAACACGTTCATATTAGCTAAGTCACTCTAAAATATTATCCTTCTTGAGTTTGTTTGCATCCCATTATTCATTTAATTCTTCTATAACTTTACACTTTTTAATCGTTCACTTATCATTTAATTTATTATTTTATACTTTTCATTCGTCTATTTATATTTTTCTATTTGTACTTTTCATGCTTCCATTTATCATAGTTTTTCATCTTCTATCACTTTAATCTCTTCATTCCTTCATTTGTCATTATTTTTGTTTTCTACTACTTTACACTTTTCATCCTTCCAATTCTCAGTGTAGACAACTAAACCTCTCATCCGTTATATAAGCATTGGTTCTTGTAGCTACCATTCTGTGCCCCTTTCATCTTCATCTCATTGATATTGAGGTTAAGGTAGGGTGGGTAGGTTAGGGTAAGGTAGGAAGGGTTAGGTTAAGGTAGGTTAGGGTAGCATAGGTTAGGGTAAGGTAGGGTGGGGTAAGTTAGGGTATGGTAGGTTAGGTTAGGATAAGGTAGGATGGGTTAGGTTATGGTAAGGTAGTATCGATTAGGTTAGGTTAGGGTGAGGTATGGTGGGTAAGTTTAATTTAGGGTAGGGTAGGGTAGGGTAGGATATACTGTAGTTAGCGTTTGGGCAGGTTAGGGTGAGTTAGGTTAGGTTAGGTTAGGGTAAACACTAACGTCACTCACTTGCCACTTAATCTTCTGTCTACGAACATTGAAACCTGACAACACTTCAGCTCCAATATGAAAAGTTTCTTCGTCTTCCCTGTCACACCTCTCTAAACACACATTTTATATGTACATATATTTCATTCAGAGTTTCGAAAAAAGTTTTATATATATATATATATATATATATATATATATATATATATATATATATATATATACAAACACATTATAATTATTCCTAAAATGCATGATGTATATATACTGTACAGTATATAGTATATACGTAGGTGGTGTGGGTGGCAGGAGAAGGGGGTCAGTGGGTGGCGTGGGTGGCAGTAGGGGGTCAGTGGGTGGTGTGGTGGCAGGTGAAGAATCAGTGGGTGGTGTGGGTGGCAGTGAAGGGGTCAGTGGGTGGCGTGGGTGGCAGTAGAAGAGGTCAGTGGGTGGTGTGAGGTGGCAGCTGTGGGGGATCAATGAGGAGGTGTGGATGACAGCAGGGGGTGGTGGTGGCAGCAACAGGGGATCAGTGGGAGGTGTGGATGACAGCAGCAGGGGGTGGTGGGTGGCAGCAGCAGGAGATCAGTGGGAGGTGTGGATGACAGCAGCAGGGGGGTGGTGGGTGGCAGCAGTGGGGGATCAATGAGAGGTGTGGATGACAGCAGCAGGGGGGGTGGTGGGTGGCAGCAGTAGGGGATCAATGGGAGGTGTGGATGACAGCAGCGGGGGTGGTGGTAACAGCAGTGGGGATCAATGAGAGGTGTGGATGACAGCAGGGGGGTGGTGGGTGGCAGCAGTAGGGATCAATGAGAGGTGTGGATGACAGCAGCAGGGGGTGGTGGGTGGCAGCAGTAGGGGATCAATGGGAGGTGTGGATGACAGCAGCGGAGGGTGGTGGGTGGCGGACAGGACGCAGGTAATAAAGAGTGTCGGCACCACAGGACGTGCTCCACGACTGTCACACGCTCATCAACCTCATTAACATCTAGTGTGTTATCCTGCCCGGGAGCCATTGAAACCGACCGACTCCTTCTTACAGTAATTGTGCTATCTCGGTTACCCCCGTAGAAGATGTGTCCAAGATATTATCCTGGCAGTTTATCCATCAACAGGAGTCAAAATCAAGCACGAGGGTTACCGCGGGGGAGGACTGGAGGTGTGAAGACAGATTTAGTGGGTCACTTCCGCGATCAGTACAAGAGCTTAAGTCCACTTTCACCTGCAACGTCTTAGTACTGAAACGTGCGGCACTCTGTCTTAACCACATCCCAGTTTCTTCTTCGTTCCACTTTGTCTTCACACAGAAGTAATGTACATTAATTAAATATAAACTACTAAATCAACAATAATCAAACAATCACTTGTATATGTTGAGTTTCTTTTGAGTGTCAACGATGTATCACTTGAGGAGATGCAGAGGACCTACCTATTGTTACGGACTTCTGTGCTGTAACGACGGTGAGGAACACGACAGCGGCAGTCACGAGCTCAGGCGAGAACATCATCAGACCAGCGACACCACTCAACTGACCCCCCACCCTCATAACCAACTTTATATACCCGCACCTCACCCTCATGGCCACTACATAAACATACCATGGATTAACGCCTCTATCAAGGCCTATACATCATTCCACATGTCAGGAGACAATGGAGGTGTTAAAAGTGGTACAGATCCTTAGTTACCTGGCCAGTTTTTTAGTTAGGGTAGGCGTTTATGCGAGGGAGGAAATGCGTGTTGAGACAGTTCCTCTCGGCTCCCACCGGCCTCCTTTCATCCCATGGTACAAAGTGTTCACCGGTTGTGTTGTCCTTCATAAGGACATTCTCATGTAACCTCATACACTTGTACTGACACCGATAGCTTTTTAAAAAAAATTAGGTTGGCACCCGTGAGACACCTACTGGAGGAGGCTTCCCAGGGACACATTCATCCTCAGATTGTAGAACAGATGTTTATTCAAACAAATGATGCGTATTACACCGCCTCACCGAGAACCTTCCACTACTGTAGATGGGCAGAGAGCCAAGAGTTGTTCAATGTATTGAAAACGTAATGCATTTTGGGGTTAACAAAGCTGAGGAGTCAGTCACCTCATTGTAAATCCCAAACCCCAATAATGATAAACAACACATTTTACTTCGCGTACAAACAACTACAAATGTTTCAGAACGTCAGGGGGGGGGGGGGTACGGAAAAAAGTACACACGAGCAACCGAAGGATTGGCCAGTGATCCAGACATGAATATTGATGCTCAAAAGAGCAAATGGCTTAAAATGAGCATCAGAAAGACACTAAAGAGGTATAAATACAGAAGCGTTAATAAAAGTCATTGGTCAGTATCTTGCGTAATACTACACACAAAGTTATACGTTTACACATTTTTGAGAGAGTGATGGTTGGGGGAGGACAGCTTGCAACGAACACGATTCCCAGATAGACCATTTCTTCCCACCTGGACGATTAAAGTTAAAAATCGTCCATACGTCACAAATTCTATGGGAAATACGATGTTTATTATAGGAATATATTACGAACTATATTAGGATGAATGAATTATAGGAATATAATAACAAAATACAACATAAATTATAATAGGAATGTTTTATTATAAGGATTACTATTTCCTCCCAAACAATCCATGTGGGAATCGTCTTTTGGGGAATCATCCAGGTGGGATGACACCATGATGGCGTATCAAAGTTTTGGATTACTTTATCGAAGAGACATTCAGGGGTTAAAAATCGGTGCTATCAAGGTTCTGGTATGAAAGCACTTATGTCTGTAAGGCAGCTGTCGCACTGGATAGGTGACAGCACTAGATAGGGTCGCACTGGAAAATGCTTGGGTAATCCTGCACTAGTCCAACAACAATAAAAAAATTATGTAAGCTAGAGGGAGGGAGGGAGAGCGGGGGGGGGGGGTGTCCTGAAATTTCGCTGTCATCAAGAGACTGACAGAATTTCCAATTCATTATACAGTACAGTACAACAATAACAGTGCGTAGAGATCAACATGCTTTTTACGTTATTTACGGAATCTTTACTGCAAAATGTATAGCAAAGTTATGAAGAATGTATATACAGTATTCATATTTGTTAGTTGTCAAAATATTTATACATTGGGTTGCAGATAGTGTTAGCCTCTGGCAGCGCTGTTTAGTATCCCTGCAATGAAGATTGGCGGTTTTATAATCTCTAGGGAACAGATGCACTGTACAGTACAAAACTGGTCACTCTATCTCTGACAGTAATACTTTCTCCGCAAGTAATCCAGTGGACACCAGTTTTCATAGTGGCTGCAGTCGACTGAGGGGGTGGCCTCTCCACCTGTCCACTCTGTGACGTCATGCACGAGCTAGGTCGCATTTTGGGTCGGGTGTGAGTAGACCTTCTCCTCTATAGACCTTGGGTTAGACCAGTCTAAAGAGCTGTAACGAGATGTTTGATGTCATCAGAAGGGAAAGCACAGGAGGGAGTCACTCTCCAGACGACACCTTGTTACAGTTATTCAAAGCTATTCTAACTACTCTTCCTGAGCATGTGGGCCTCCTATGTCATAACCTCGCCCCTTAAACTGCTCGAAGCATGGGGCTAACGTCATCTTGGGGTTCGCAACTTGATCTGTTCACCAAATTCTACGGCGGTACAAGCTGATTTTACGGAGAGCAAGAGGGATTTTTTTCCGCCTTGAGAGCATCTCTATCACCCATCAAACTCACATACGTGGCAGACATACACGTTTCACTGTGATCATGCAATTCCTAGGTATTCGCTTTTGAAACAAATACCTCATTAAACTACACAATTGATCACTGTGTACTTAGTTCTCCAAAGATGACTTCTTCTGCCCTCGGTGCGCCATGTTCTTTGAATTATATGAAAAACTTGTTACCACCATTCCTATAAGTAAGCATTAGAGTGTCTTGACGTTAAATAAATTGGGGTGCCTAATCTCCAGGTAATCTTTATCCTACTTAGCATATGCCTCCGCCTACTGAGAAGCGGTGGAGACGCCTATGTTGCCATTAACTCATTAGTAGTATCAAGTGGGGATCACGTGAAGATTATGTACCCCAGCTTATTTCACCTAAATATTAGACGCTCAAACGCTACCTGGGGAGGTTAAGTAAAGTTAGGTTAGCGTTAGGGTGATTAATCTTCTGGTGATATAATTTGAGATGTCTAATCTTTATATAATATCTACTCACCAATTTTGTATGGAGTTCCTCAAGGCTCCATTTTCGGTCCTGTACTGTTTTTGTTGTCCATAAACGATATTGTCCACTCCAGCCCACTCATAAAATACAACTTATTTGCAGACGATAGTAATCTCTATGCCAGCAACTCAGACCTTCATTCCTTGGTGAGAACTATGAACACTGAATTGACTAAAGTCAGTCCTGGGTATTACGTAATAAACTCACCTTAAAACTTGAGAAAACCCACTACACGATCTTTCACAGAAGTAAAAACTTACCCCAGATTTGGATCCCCTGTACCTTGGTAATACAGTCCTCAAACGCGAACAAAATGCTATAATCCTCGGGGTTCTTGTTATTGAGAAACTTAGCTGGAGAAACCACATACAAGCCATTCACAGTAAAGCCAATAAACTGTGCGGTATCATGCATCACACTCGACAGTCTTTCACTCTTACAGCAATGAAAGAAATGTTATGATCTTGCTTACCAACACCTGATACACTGTCACACACTATGGGGGGCCTCTGGCTCTTCTAAAACACAACCCCTGGTTATTGCACAAAAGAGAGTTGTACAGACAATGACCTAGTTGAAAAAAAAACTGATCACACAAACGAAAAATTTGCTAAATTGAAAATGTTAAAATTCGAGGATATTAACCCCTGCTGCTGTCCCCTATTTGTTTACAAATCTGTCAATAACTTGCTTGACAATAATTATTTTAATTTCCGAAATAATCAGAGATAAAACTTAAGGCACCCAGAGCAACTGTACGCTCCTCAGTCCCAGACCTCCATAAAATATCACGGTGTGAAGGTGTGAGAACAACTTACCCCCCACCCATCTGAGCAAAGGCTACGCTCCCTTCCTTTAAATCATCTCTTAAAAAAATATCTATTGTCTAAGTATTAATATTTTTTGTAATGCCTACTTTATATTCCTGCTTTTATTGTACCACTAAAACCGTTTTATCAGAAATTATCATGTAGATAAATAGAAATTACCATTGCAATAAATATATTTGCCAACTAGACATAATACTGATAGCTCTGTCCTCTTGTTCCACCTCAATACAACCCATGTTGTACTGTTTCCGGAGCAAGTGATTTTTTGTGTCCATGTGCCCAGCACTTGCCCGGCGGACAAGCTAATATTTTGAAGTAAATACCAAGGCTCACCGTATACGTTTAACCAGGGAGGTCATCAGTCTACCAGGATTGGTGACGGATGTCAGGTGCAGGGAATTTAACTCTACAATAGGCCGTCAACCTGCCTCAGTCGGTCAACTTGTCACAATTTCAAAGGAACCACCAAGCTGAGAGGCTGCAGAAGTGAGGTGACAAGAGTTATGACCTCACATGACAAGTGTTACCGCCACTGACACCGGGTTATTGGAGGGGGGGGGGGTGATCGCAAGTGCTGCCTCCACCTCCCCACACGAGGTGATGAGTTACGTCATCACTCGGTAAGGGTTACCGCCATTTGGACGGACACAAGTGATCTGTGAATTCATAAACACAATACATTTAAATGTTTTAAGGTGTTTTATTTAATTTTCCCATAAGAAATCATGCCTCGCAAATTACCTTAAAAAATATTACAGGACAAGAAAAAAGATATTCGCCCGCGTAAATTTCAAGTCACTTGCCCTGGTCAAGTATATGTTCTACATAATCTGTACAGACTGTTATAAAGCCAAATCAGGAAGAGATAAATGTAATGCAGGTCGCGTCACTAACATAAGCTGCTTCCTTGTTCCCACATCCGGACCCTAAGAGTGACATCACTAAAAACCAAGGGCAGACATTGACTAGTACTGTTAAGTGTGGTACATGAACCAAGTCTCATTGAAAAGAATCCCACCGGACAATTTTCCTACTGGGTGAGATCCCACCATGAAATTAAAGTGTGTGTGGGATGAGATAACAAAGTAAGATTGTGTTTGAGTCTCCGCAAATAATAAGTTCTGGGTTTGATTCTTGGGAAGTTTGAATATTTAAGTAAATTACAGTGCTTCCTTTGCCTTTGTTGACCCTGCAGCAGTGTGAATCACCTGGTTTATGGCGTGTTTAGGGTAAAATAACGGACCAAACGTCAAGATCGTAGAGGGAGCGTGAAAGAAGCATACGAGTATTAAGGAAACAAAAAAGAACGTGAAGGAGGAGTACAGGTTGCGTGAAGGAGTACAGGTTGCGTGAAGGAGGAGTACAGGTTGCGTGAAGGAGTACAGGTTGCGTGAAGGCAGCGCAGGGGATGGGGGAGGGGGTGAAGGAAGTATACAAAACATAGTGGTTTTGATGATGGGTACTAAATACAAAATATATATATATTGTTGCCTTTGCAAGCGATAGGGCAAGCGTAATACTTGGCAAAGAGTTTGGCGTTGCCATGTCTGATGCAATCAACGAAGTTACATCTGTGATATTTTTTGTGTAGTTTACACACACTATAGTCGTTCACCTGAAAATCTATATCAATTAAAAGTTTGTGCTCGTGATGTGGATGAGCATCTGAAGAAAATTTGAAGTGTATTTGGAGACAGATGGGATACAAGCTCCTGCAACTATACTGTCAAGCTATGTGTCTACATTTTCAGTCTACATCTGAAGATAAAATCAGACTATCAAAAGTACTCAAGTATTTTAAGTAGAAAATAATTAGGCTTTTTACTTTACGTAGCCTCCACAATGTGGAATAACTAAACAAGCCGAAGGGAATGATTTTCTACATGGTCTATTTCTCATGAAATATTTTATGTAGATGATTTTGTTTTTTGTTTTAGTTTTGACTAATACTGTATAATTCTGTGATCCGTCCTCACGCTTTTTTGCTTGGACTACACTACCGTTTACAATACAAACGTGATTCAGCAGTCGTGATCGTGCGGCTCAGCCAACACTGGACGTCGTAGGTAAACAAAGATCATCAGCTGAGAGCATTCTTCATTTATCTGTTCATCATCATTTCACTACTTCACTTCGTTCTTATAACCTTTAGTGTCTAGTGTTAGTAAAGAAGGAAACCGGAGTACCCGGAGAAAACCTGCGATGTTTGAGAGGATTACACTGGATAACATGCTTCTTACATCTGTCCCGGGCTGGAAATTTAACCCAGGAGAAGAGTACTGAGAGGTACGCGTGTTACCGCTGTACTCCCAACACCCTATTTAAGGGAGCATGAAGAGAGGGTAGAGGGAGGGAGCATGAAGAGAGGGTAGAGGGAGGGAGCATGAAGAGAGGGTAGAGGGAGCGAGCATGAAGAGAGGGTAGAGGGAGCGAGCGTGAGGAGAGGGTAGAGGGAGAGAGCATGAAGAGAGAGTAGAGGGAGGGAGCGTGAGGAGAGGGTAGAGGGAGGGAGCTTGAAAAGGGACCGCCACCACTATGAGTGTAATGGTGTGGAAAGACTTTATATACCTTTTCCTGTACCGGGTGGGTGTATAGGTGTACGTGGGAGGTGTAGAGTGGGTGTAGGTGTACGTGGGAGGTGTAGAGTGGGTGTAGGTGTACGTGGGAGGTGTAGAGTGGGTGTAGGTGTGCGTGGGAGGTGTAGAGTGGGTGTAGGTGTACGTGGGAGGTGTAGAGTGGGTGTAGGTGTACGTGGGCGGTGTAGAGTGGGTGGCAATTATGGAAGATTTGTGTGAGAGGGGCGTGAGTGGAGTATGAGAGGTGTAAGAGGGGCGTGAGTGTAGTGTGAGAGGTATGTAGGTGCTCTTACTGGCCACCCACCGCGGAAATAGCTTGTTGGACCTCATGTTTACACCTCCCCCCGACCCTCTGTGTGATGCCGCTGATCGCCACCCACACCCACCCTTGTGATGCCGCCCACTACAACCCGAACCCGTCCTTGTGACGTCGTCCACCACTACCAACACCCACCCTTGTGACGTTGTAATGCCGCCCTTCACCACCCTAGTGATGCCGCCTATCACCGCACTAGTGCTCCTGCCCCCACCGAACAACAACACCCTTGTTCGACATGTTCCATGGACGGGGTGAAGGTTTGGGAGCATTTCACCACCAATATTCAATGTCAAGAAGTGTAAGAGGACGCACCTAGGTCGTTCCAACAGTAAGGAGGCGTACCACACATCCCAACAGGACGAAGAAACAACATTAATAAAGACCGAATGTGAAAAGGAACTGGGTGTGTATTTTGATAACGAACTGAAGTTCTCGGGCCATTGTAAAAAGAAGGTGAATCAAGCAACTAAACCAGTAGGTCTTATAAGAAGGTATTAACGCTTTTCAAGAGTGAGGTGCATCCCTGTCTAGAGTACTGTCACCCCGTCTGGTCCCCGAGATATGCTAGAGGTTATCAGTAGATTGAAAACGTCCAAAGGGGGGCCACCAGACTGGTGCCTGTACTACGGTACCTCAGGAACCCAGAGAGATTAGAATGCCCCCAATTGCCTAACTTATACTATCGACGGGCAAGGGGTGACTCATTAAAAGTTTATAAACAACTCAAGAGGACATTACTCTGTCGAGTGTTCATACCTAGAGCTGGCGGATGGCCGACCCACTAGAGGTCACAGCTTAAGCTTGAAGAAGCCACAAGTTCAGAAAATTGTCTGGACAAACTTTTTCGGAGTTAAAGTTGTGAACCCTTGGAGCAATCAGCCAGAGAGCGTTGTGACGGCACCGAGTGTGAACTGGCCAAAATTGGAGCAGGTATAGATGCATTCTGGAACCAGTGCATGCCCAGTACTTGCCGACATGCGTAACAGAGACGTGACCGACCGCTCAAGCGGCTAACTGGCAGATCAGTGGCGAAGAGGATAAAGTAAAGTAAAATAAAGTAAATATGGAATGGATGCGCCAGGGATACGACGGCGCCGGTAATGTATCTGGTTATTTCCGAGGTGTACAGACACGTATCTGAAAGCTAAATCCTTCAGCCAGCTATGTCCATTACCGCAGCCACACTTGAACCTAGCCATAATTACAAGGCTGTCCCTATCCGAAATATCTCCGCCTCGCCACTACGTCTCGATCTATAGCCACTCAGACTGTCAAAGAAGCTTCATTACTGAACAAATTCTGTGAAACAAGATGAAACCAGGTCATCACATGTTTTCCTGCCATCGTATAGATACAGGTTTACACCATCTCGTCAAGGAAAAATCCAGCATTAACGTTTCATTATTTCTCAACTTGCATTTTAATTCATCTGCCTCCTTATCAGCAGCTACATATCTTAAGTTCTTGATGCCATTCTGTAATGTGCTCCTGGCTAAAAACTGTAACCTCCTCCATGCATCACAATAAATGGACACTTTTTATTTTCTTCAGTAGAAGCGAGATGATGACACCTGTGACTGCATATGGGCAAAAGAGTGCTGATTGTATGGATGTATCTACCACAGCTCGTAGTGGACGGCGGCAGGCTCAGTGCTCAAACATACCAGCACCGGAACCCATAGATTACTGGAGACTCACTGTCTATACTTGCCTTTATTGACTATCTTATCATTCAACCTAATGACAGATTCTGCAAGCCTCCCCCCGTCCCCCCCCCCCTACGTGCTCAGTATATCCTTTCAGACTTCACTGACAAGTTAATAGATGACATTTAACCCAGTAATAAAGAAGAATACATCCACATCAACCGACACGACACAGAACAGAAAATCTGCAAGCACTACATCAAGATAGCAGTTTCCAGAAATTCCAGTTGCCTTCTGTCCTACTCCTCCCAATACCGTTACCGTCACCACGGGATTGTATCCAAACACTCGACCTCTGCCTACCATATGCCAGTCGGCCCAGTTTCCACTCAGCACAGTTCACCACCTGAAGACTTAACTAAGTAGCCTGAAGACTTAACTAAGTAGCCTGATGACTGATGAATGACTCAGCAGTCTCGCTTTCCTCCATATTCATCAAGATATAAATATAGACGTTTGTGTTATCCTTAAGAAGTTTGACGCCACAGTACACCGTCGTCACGTCATTTCTAATAATATCTAAAAGCATGTGTCACACCCTTTCTTGTCTTTGGCTCACAACCCATTAGCGTAACCCTTCCACTAATATAAATATTTTTTAATTACTGATTTCACCCGGGGGCGTCAAACCCGAACTTTCTGAATTTGAAGATTTTATACCATTGTTTTTATTTATTTTCTCTCGGTGTATAGGGTAGGTTAAACTTTATTTTATTTATTTTATTTTATTTTTTTTTTTTTTACGGAGATTAGCCCACTCGGGCACAGGTCACTGACCCACATCACGGCCTGGGGGCGAAAATACAATAATAATAATAATAATAATAATAATAATAATAATAATAATAATAATAATAATAATTATTATTATTATTATTATTTTTATTATTATTAACAGCAATAATAATAATTAATACAAATAAAAAATTATAATAAAAATAAAATAATGATAATAACCATAAATAAAAAATAAATATAATATATATCAAGAGTGGGAAACGATATACATTATGTTGTTGTATTGTCAGTAGTTAGAGAGACAATTGAACCCTGCAATTGTGTGTAAATGAGGCAGAAAGACAGATCAGCAACCTAGGACTTGGTCACAATTTTCCTGATGCCATATGGCAGCAGGGTCTACCATTAGACAATACATTATGCTTCCAATATCTTCCCAGGCGGTAGTACCCACCTGTTTGGTAGATGCCTACTACCTACTCCGTTGAACATAATACAGAAGATCTAAATTGCAGCTTGAGTAATTTAGTACACTTCATATGTTTTTCTTGTTTTTGTTTTTGTTTTAAAAAATTTCGGCAAAATTATTGCACGCATCACAGGTCACAGGTCACAGGTTGTTCCATAACTGGTGGATACTGGATGGCGGATTCCGTCGACGAACGTTGGAAATGTTTCTTTATCTCCGCATCATATAAGAGAGGAATTTTATTTATAAATATCTTTATTTTGCATTAATATGGTGTAAATAAAATTTAATTATATTAAATAATATTTTTTGTGAAATTTAATTACAATTTATTATAAAAAAATGAAACATTGTAGATTTTATAATAGGATGGCTCCTTCAAACCTGTATTTAATATACGCAAACTATTTAAGGTTTTGTCTCTCTCCCCGCGGCTGTCATTCCTTCTCTCGCCGCATATTATACTAAATTAAATAGTCCAGTACTTGAAGGGAACATGGCTAGCTCTTCACAGGTAAGGTCTTATGAGTGGTTTATCGGAAAGTAGATTTGTTTTAGTATGGCTCTCACACCTATACAGGGTGTAGTACAGGTAGGTTAGGTACTGACCTCGGTACTTTCTTATTGTTATAATCTCAATGGTATAATATGTGTGAATAGCTTTTTATTGCATTTTGTGATAAATATTTATAAATTTCCATGCCCGTAAATGATGGGAAATAGATTTTATGGTGTATTCCTCGTTTTCATACGAATTTGGCCATCATTTCCCCCAATTATCAACAATGTTGGTTGCACAAAGTGGGTAGGGCTTTGAAGTAGAGGGAAATTGTGAGCTAAAAACGCAAAAAAAATAAAAACGAAACCTAACCAGAAAAAACAGAAGGACCTGACCTAACCTCCTACCCAGGGAGGGGAGTGGAGCCCCACTAATCCCGCGGTGTGTACAAAACTGGGTTAGGGTCATCTCGTACCCAAGACAACTCGTACCCAACTCACGAGATAAGTCGTACCCCTGAATTCTTACACCCAATTCAAGAGATAATCCATACCTATTGGTATACAGTATATACCATGCATTTTAGCTTTATCTATGATTACAAAAAGCGATTATGTAAATCTTGTAGGAAAGTGCAGTGAAATAGGGAAATGTAATGCAGGCTTTAAAATGGTTGCATCTCATTACATAAGTATGTTATTTCATCACAAACATTGCACTACAAGTACAGTCACCCAAAAAAGTCCTGTCGCCTCTCATCCTGAACCACGAACCCCGAGAATCGGACTCGTGAACCCGAATCAGTAGACACCGATATATTATTCTGTCCATAAATGCTTTGGATTCAAGAGACCGAATCTCGGGGTTCATGGTTCAGAATGAGAGGCGACAGGACTTTTGTGGGTGACTGTACAAATTTCACACTATGTGGTTTAGAATAACTTTATTGCAATTTACAGATTTCAGGCTAATAGATTTGGCAGTTTCAATTTATAAACTGGGTGATGTAAACGTTTAAAATGGTCATAAGTCAACAAAATATAGACATGCATAAAAACATTGATTTTCCAGCTCCAGCTTTTTATAAACAAATCAGTTAGTGTACAGTATATAATACGGGGCTCCTCGCGGGTAGTTTTCCGGTATAACGAACATGTTCTACAGAGTGACTGACATCGTGACATCGTCAGGAATTTCTTTTTCTGACATGTCAACGTCAAGAATGAAATACAGTAGTAATAAGGATATAAAAGAACAAAGAGTGGGAATATTGGCCAATGCATATACAATTAGTTATGTTATTGTAAGTTAATGAAACTCTGGATAGATTTGTTTAAAAAGTCATGACCACACGGAAACAAGACCAGTATGAGTAACGTAACGACTTGATTATGTGTCGAAAGTGCTTAAATAATACATAGAAAATCTAAAATGGGTATCTTTTTCTTCAAAGCACCACAAAACTCTCACTTTTAAGCTTGCCAGCCATTTTAAAGTGAATTACAAACGAAAATTTTGTCAGTACACAGCACAGTCACTGACGTTGGGACTCGAAAATACATAATTTGACAAAATTTTGGTACGAATGAGGTGGTCGTTTGTCTGGGTGGTCGTATGTCCTGGTGGTCATAAGTCAAGTAGGTCGTAAGTCGGGGAGTAGCTGTATATGGGTACGAACTGTCGTAAATTGGGTACAAGTTATCTCGTAATTGGGTACGAGTTGACATGTTCTGATGGGTACGATTTGCTTGGGTACGAGTTGTCCAGCACCCTACAAAACGTACTTCGGTAGTGTGTGTGTCTCTTATTGCAATACCAAGTACTGTATGCCGATCTGCATGGTACTGACTGTGAATCACACCTTGGACACTTGACTGAAGAAGGGAGAACACCATGAGCCCTCAAGATGTCAATAGCTGCTGCTTATTTCTAAGAAATTCACTGAATTACACACCAATCTGCCAAGGAGCAACTGGCTAATATTTAGAAGTTGCTAACACCTAATATATTCAGTTTTATATAGGGAGAAAGAGAAAAAATTATTCTATAATGTTTCCGTCGGAAATTTTTATTTTTTTAGTACCCTGTATTCTAATCGATAGATTACCAGCTGGTAATTATTGAAGAATAACTTGCAGCCGATTTTTCACAGAAAAGATTATAAAAATGCTGCAATTTTACTGTTTTATGGTGGACATTGTCATAGTTTGTGCATATGTGTTAAAAGTGGTTATTTCTAAATTAAACCTAACCTAACCTTATTTGATATGAAAAACAAACAGCAGAAGCATTGTTGGAAGACCTCATCAGCCTAATCAAACAAACCTACCTAACCTTAACTAACTTCCTAGCGGAGCTTCCGGACCCCCGGGTATATTAAACAGAAAGCACTCGTAATGATATGGTTTAATTTTACGTTTTGTGGACGTGAGAGCATCTATCCATACCAAACGGTTCATAAACATACACTGAACATTGGCGTCGATCCGGCCGGGGTGGTGGAGTGTTTTGAAACATGCCATTAGCTGTTAACATCCTGGGATAAGGTGTCACTGCTGAAATACTGCTGAGAAGGCAGAGTAGTGTGCGCCTAGATACCTAATTATCTACCGAACGAAGCATTTGCACAAGAAATGATTCATATCAGAACTCACTGATGAAAATATAGTAACAAAATAAACATCAAACTAAATGGTAACTTGTCCGTGGGTCAGTCGTCAATATTAAAGGTCAGTTTATAGTACAGTACTGTAGTACATATGCAGTAGAAATTCAGTATTTCATGAGATTGGGACCGATAATTACATGTAAATGTTATTTTCGCAAAATATCATTCTATAAATTAAAATAGGGAAGAGGGGGTACAGGACTGGACTCAAAAACTACACCAAAACAACATGCCTTTAAAACATTTACTGATTTTCACTAAACATTGGTAGCAGCTCAGCAGTGAGGTCTGTTCCTGTCTTCTTATAATCTTTACGCTGCATCATAGGTGAATACTGTACAATATACAGTACGTAGTTTAAAAAAGAATCATAACAAATTGAGATAAAGCAGAGAGGAACCCACATTCATTCTACCCCGACTGACTGACGACTAATTCGTCATCTGCCAGGCCACCCAAGCGTCAGCTGATAATGGGCAAAGACGTAATATACAGTAAATAAAATTTTTCCAGTTAACTGAACACAGAATGTTCATTAATGGTCACAAAGTTTAAAAGCCTTGTTTTCTAAGATATATTAACAAATTATGGTAAGCAACAATGAAAAAAATCCAGAAGGCTGATAAAGCTTAAGCCACGGACTGCAGATATAGGTTGGGAATCACTGGTTTAGAGAATAGTACTTTTATTGAAGATAGAGGAAGAAATATTAAGGTACTGTATTGGAGAAACTATGTGACTTAGTTCTTGAGGTGTCAGTGTTTTATTGATTTTAAAAAGAATTTGTAACATACTGTACTGTATCAGGTCAGATAGTTAATTTGTATTGGGATTATTGTATACTGTACTGGTATATTAATTCAGTTATATACTTGTCTTTTCAGGGAACCGCAACTGAGTATGTTGTCAGGGTACCAAAGTAAGTATGATAATGTATTTATTTTTTAATATTAGAAAGATTATTATTCGTTGTTGGTGTGGAAACTTTGATATCAGAGTTATGGCAAAAATAAATTAAGAGAGCTGTGGGGACTGAATTTGAAGGAACAATTTTGATTTAGTAGATGGATGACAGTTTCCAAGAGAGAAAGTTTATAGTACTGTACACTGATGTCTGGTCCAATTCAAATCATTTCTGGACTGATCTTTATTGATGTGTTACAGAAGTTTCTCAATTTTTTAAATGTAAATTTTGAAAGTTTGAAAAAATTTGTGAACCCCTCAAAAATAATATGCATACAGGTAGTTCTGCTATAACGCAATAATTGTGTTCTTGTAAAATATCGTGTTATAGAAAATCGCGTAATAGAAATAACAGGGCTTATGGAGAAAATAGGGTTAGGTGCAGATTACTCGAAATCGAAAAAATTTAGTAGTTAGCCTAACACAAAGGATAGCACAGTCTAAATAAATGTTACATTCATATCTAATAATGAAATCATACAGTAAATGTAACACTTTACCTTGAAAAAATATGAATGTAACTTGATGGGGGAGAAGGGTGATTTTGAGGTTGATAACATCGAGCTTCTCTTCAAGTGTTATATCCTTTCTTTTACGATCATCACCGGGAATTCTATCACCAGAACGCTTCTTGGAGATATTCTTCTTTACCATATTCACAATTAATACCACAAAATTGGAGAAATAGTAAGCAAAAATCGCGTTATACAAATATCGTTCCTAATTCATAAATCGCGTTAGAGCAAATTCGCGTTATCAAAACACGCGTTATAGCAGAACTCACTGTATACTGTATAGTTGCCCTCCCTAATTTTTCATGAGAATTTTATCCTAAGAACTTGCACTACAAAATATTTGAGTTTAGTATACAGTAGATGGTGCAGTACTGTACATCACTGAGAGAGTTGTCTTTGTTCACATTCATGTTCATCTTTTAAAGAATTATATGATCTATCCCAGAGGCTACAGCACTACAGGGTATAAGATAATCTTTATACAGCCAGGTGCTCATAATCTGATCTTGACACTGTACGTAACATTAGTATATTTCTGACTACAGGGATACTGTTTTTATTTATCATAATACAACTGACACAAGTTTCTAACTAAAGTATAGTACTGTAATTTTAATTGTGAAGTTAGTGTGCTTGAAGTGTCTATTGAATGGAAGCTTAATATTTTGCCTCTCTTAAGTACTGTGCAGTTCAGTTACATTTGTTATGGTTTGTCTGCTGTGGCATTGTGGATATTGCACTCTTCTTCTGTCAACCAAGATAATTTTTTCTTTAATTTCCAGAGTATATAGAAGAAAGTACAACATGATGCGGTTTCATGCAGCGCTTGGCATTGACTTCAAAAATTGGACCCACACCAGGATGGAGCGAGAGAACAACTTGAAGGAGTTCAAGAGTTTAGATGAAGAGATGCCAAAGTTAGTGCCACAAATTTCACATACCAGGAAACATAAAATACTGCACTCTATATAATAATAATAATAATAATAATAATAATAATAATAATAATAATAATAATAATAATAATAATAATAATGGTTGCCCCTAGTGTAACAAGGATGGCCGGCCCAAGGGCCACCTAGGCGTGAATTTGTTTAAGGTGTAGAAGCTGTCGCCAACACAGCAACCACACCCTGAGTTAATGAGTTGCATGACCCACAGTAGATTCACTAAATCCAAGGTCATGCTTAATATCAGCTGTGTGTTCATCCATCTTAACCTCACTGATGATGGCCTTATGCTTCTTAGCATACAGCACACCAATGTATGCAACCTCGTATGGCGCTGGTAATGCCGCACCACTGCGTTGCCTGCCCAATGATGATGTTTGTCGATGGTTGCAATTTTCCAAACATAAGCCCACATAAATTTTTAAAAGGTTGTACCCTGTATATGGACTACGTATGTTAATCGGAAAATGGTGTAAAACATACATGCATAAATCTAGAGGTGCATGTACTTGCACCTACAGTATTACTCGATTTTTATTTTCTAATTTACCACTAATAAAGTACCCTGTACTATATAAATTGATCAAATTACGAGTTCAGGTGAATAAAATTGTTGGTTTGAGGTATACTGAAGAATGCTGAAAATGATTGTTAGTTAGTGAAAAAGTTTTGGTGTTTGAAAAGAGAAGTGTAATCTCTATATGTTTTGTTTGAATGGAGAAGAACTGAAAACGGTAGATGAATGCAAATCATTAAAGCCGTTAACAAGGTTTATAGTGAAAAAGCCAAAGTTTTAAAATGTTTTTGCGACTAATACTGATTCCTGTTTTTACAGATATGGAGCAGGTTCAGAATATGGGCGTGAGCAGAGAGAAGAAGCCAGAAGAAAGAAGTATGGTATCAATGTGAAAAAATACAAACCTGAGGATCAACCATGGATCCTTAGTGTTGGTGGCAAGAGTGGCAAAAAGTATGTGACATTGAATGACAGGAAAATTGATTGCAGGATTTTGAGACCATTAGTCATTTTAGAGGACCATGTACATTACAGTAGTAATGTTTTGACATGTTTTACTCATATAGTGTTTCAAGCATACAGTATATAGTACTGTACATAAATTATAAAATACAAATTGGAATCGCGTGAATAAAAAAAAACAATAAGGTACAAGCAAAAAAAAAGACTTTGAAGTTACTGATTGATATGGAAGGTCACTTGAAGAGGAAATTTATAATTTTGCCCAAAAAAATTTTTTTCTAGAAAAGGAAGTGGTGAATCTCGTCAAAATGTTGATTGTTAAATTCAAAGGGTCATTCGTCATTTACAGAAATGATTAGTATTGTGTAACTCACTTATTACTTTACTTGGTGAATCGTCAACTTCCATGACATCTGAGAAATCAAATTATTAGTTCCATGTTTAATTATGCTGTTTTTCTCTCTACATATCACAAATCTTTTTTTACTACTTCCTGTGCCAGTTACTGAACTTTTAAAGATTGTAGCTTTCTTTATAATTGTGTGTCTCAATCTTTTTTCCCAAGCATTGTTTCTGTCCATCCAATGTTTTTACAAAAAGGGGGAAGCATCTTTTTGAGTGTCAGGAAGAGGCACACTGGTTTCTAGTAAATGTAGAAGGACATGTAATGTTTCCTTGACTGTTCAGTATCATTATAGAAGACAGAAAGAGAGGTGACAGCAAGAGTGATAGAGAGAGGAGTGGATTTATTTTATTGGGATATGGTGTGTGAAGATGAGACTTCTCTGGTAGGTAATTCAAACTAAAACTTACAAATGTTAGTGAAATGGGTTCGGGAAAGTGTAGCAAAAGAAAGTTATAAGTGAATATGAAAAAAAAGTCATGGAAATATGTAAATAAGAGAGAGAAGTGAATGTTAGCTTGAATATGGGCCCCTGTAAGGTGTGGAAGTGAAAGGAGAGATCAGGGTTTGCTGTGGTAGTGTTGTAATACAGTGGAGTCACGATAATTCACGGGTTGGGTATCATATCATGAATTATAGTTTAATTGATTTAAATGAGAATAATTACTTTGGTTTCAGAGGCCAAGAAAACCCATAAACTGTTCCAAAACTTACTTTGATGAACACTAAACATAGTACATAATACATAAAAAACACAGTAATAGACAGATATTGTACAAATACTAGTTCTATATTATTTAAACAGCTCCTTCCCGTCTCATAATTTTTTGTGGGTTACACCAATACACCAACATCAAGACCGGAAGGCACCGTGCTGGCTGTGACCACATTATGTCAACAAAGAATCAGAAAATTTAATACCCCACAGTTACTCATCTGGGGTTGAGTATGGGATTCTTTATTTTTAATTTATTACTTTACAATAATATTTTATTAACCCAGTTCCAAGTAAACCAAAATAATATGGAAATTACATAATGTTGTATTAATTATGTCAGGGGCATGCTCAGCTTGAGAATGGGTTGGAGGTAGGGGACCTCAGTCTACCAGCCAATCACCCTGCCTCCCACAAACAATTCACTTACTACTTTCCACTTTTCTTATAATATTGTTTTCCTTATTATATTTTCTTTATTTCTGTCACATTACTTAATTGAAGTGATACTTATATTGCTATATATTTTCTTTATTTCCAAATCAAATTCGAGCAATTATGTGAGATTTCTACGACTTTTATCGTTTTTTTATGCAAATTAAGACTGTGGCAACTGGTGCTCAGCTGCAAATTATTAACACTTGACTGCAAAATTTATTAACTAAAAGAAGTAGTAGTAGAGGTGCCCATGAATTTAAGAACATATTTGTATTTTGCAAATTATCAAGACTCCACTGTTCAATACAATCTTGAAACAAATTGGGAATAGAAGATTTACAAAGTGTTATAATTCTGAAATGAATAGTAGGAGAGCAAGAGTAAGATGGAGAAGTTGAAAGATAGGGTAATGGAGGTACTGTACTGGTCTCAACCTTTTCACTACTGGACGTCACTTGAATATTTTATTTGGCTTACACCAGATGATTTTATTCAGCACAGTGAGGACTCCTAATACCCAGGGAGATAAGGGGGATGGATATATAATCAGTGTGAGGCAGTGTGTGTACAGTATATAATAGAAGACATTAGTTTTGGGTGGTTTATGGGGCTAGCCATTCCAGTTATGGGGAGGATTACCTGGTAGTTGTATTGAGCAAGGTTTAAAACAACTAGAAATCTTAGGGTCATGTAGTGAAAGGAGATACCTTAAAAAATTAAGGGAGAGTCAATATTGCTTTTAATTCCTGCCACCTTGTACAGTGTGAGGAAAGGCTTTAACGTGTGGATAAAACTAGTTGATTCACAGGTTGTAAAGGTAGATTTTGGTCATTTTTATTAGATATTTTCTTGTAAGTTTAACTTTTTTTAATTTTTCTTTCAGATTCAAAGGTATTCGAGAAGGTGGAGTGTCAGAAAATTCCTCATGGTTTGTGTTTATGCAGGGAAAAGATCGTGCCTTTGAGGCATATCCTGTTGAGGAATGGTATAACTTCAAGCTTATACAACGTTACAAGGCTCTTAGTGCAGAAGAAGCTGAAAAAGAGTTTGAAAGGTCTCTATAATTTATTATGTTTTTGAATGTTCAAATGACAGTCATTGCAAGTCAGATTTTTTGTATGTCTTCCTTGTTGGATGATTTTTTAGTTTAAAGTAAAAGTTATTTATATTTTAATTTAAGGTTTCTTCTCAGTGCTACTCTATACTCATATTGCATTAGTCTGAAAAGGAGCTTCTTCAGGATTTTCAAAAATATGCTGGCAGTTTTGACACCATTTTGGTCACAGTGTTAGTACTACAATCCTATCTTTATTGTTGTGAGTTAGATGTTATATAACAATGTTAATGGAATATTTATTGTATGAACCGTTCAGAATAGGTGCCGTGAGTAGCTTCATGTCATATAATATAAATACAAAACTGATTGTACCGTCATCCTCAACTTGACAAACATTTGGGTCAGGGTAATTGTCACTTATTCAAATATTCAACAGAAAAGTTAGTAAAAAGAAGAAAAATGTTTTTTACTGGATGAGTGTACAACATCATAAAGGCATATTCCTTACAGCTGGGTACTAGCAGTGTCATTGTTATTAGTTTGAAATGTTTTGAAATGTGTTGGTGATAGTAAGCTAACAAAGTGCTAATTTAATTCATCAGACGGGACAAAATTATGAATTACTTCTCCGTGATGTACCAGAAGAAACTCAAGAAAGATGGGGATGAGGCACCAGATGGGGACGAGGAGGTCGTTAAGAAGAAAGGCTCGTCCAGTAAGAGTAAGTTACAGTATTTGGTTCAATAGTTGCTGCAGTAAAAAGACTTGGATTTTAAAAGCTCTGATACCACCCTCAGCCATAGTGGGAAGGTTGTAAGAATTAAAAAAGCTAACATCTTGTATACTGACTTCCATAGCTTTCTAATGCAACAGTCTTCCAAGTGAGAATGTTTAATTTAGTCTGTGGTCTGATATGACTGACTAACTGACTGGTCTATACTATTCAGAGATAGTATATAATGCACTTTCAAGTCTGTCTCGCCTTTGATTGAACTTGTATCACTTGGGTTGAGAATCCAGATGCATTTTTAAGCTAAATTATGAAATGATAATGTCCATACAGTATACAAGTGTTTTTCATTTAGACCAAGTATTGTGATCTAAGAAAATGCTGGCATGAGCGAATTTGGTACATTATAAACAAAAGAGAAGTTTCCATAGGAAAAGTGTCATGTTTCCAGCCACTGTTAAAGTCCCCCTTTTGATGATGAGTGTACAGTATTATATTAAGATTTCATGTTTACACTGAAAATTAAATACTCTTAAGTTTTATTGAATGAATAAATTATATAAGTATAATCTATGCACTTATTAATTATGTTTTCTGCAAGGGGAGAGACTGGTGTTAGGTTAGTATAGAGAACTAATTGGTTGAGTAAGGAAAGGTTGGTGTAGAGTCATCAGGGTCATCATTGAGTAGTGACAGAGTCATATTAATTGGAGAAGAGGGCTCTTTGGGTGGGCTAACATTGATGCTGCTGCTGCTGTAAGCTGGACACAAGGGAGTGTGTGTGCTGGAAGAGGTACTGGAGCTGCTTGCACCACTAATGGTTGGGTCATAATTTTTTTAAGATTGAATGTTTTGTTGTGCTCTGGGTTTTTTGTAAAACTCCTTTAAGGTAGAAACTCTTGATATTATCACCCCTACACCCTTCTTATCTGTGAACTTCACGCCAGATTGGGATCCACATCAATCCCCTCTTACATTGCTTGGTCAGCAAGTGTGGGGTAACAAGCTAGACTCTTAGTGGTCAGTTGGTTCTTTTGTTTGGTAACTTCTTTCTGCTGCCTCCTCCTCTCATTGTGTCGGTTCCAATAAATCCTCTGGTGTCATTTCCTCCACATGAAACTTGTGTAGCTCTACCACATCAGCTTCTTACAATTACTCAAGCCTCAACATTTTGACCAAGATCAATTATTCATATAATTTCTGATGATAGTATCCCTGTAGTGAGAAACCCTCAAAGTTGAGTGTTCACTCCAGCTACAAGACCTTTCAAATTCCATTCATGGTGCTGATCTTGAGCTCATCTCATGCACTTCTGAAGAGCTCCTGAAGAGATGGTTTGTTGGGCCTGTCAGTAGCTTGAAACAACTGAGTTTGTGTTCACCTCAAATAATACATTTTAAATGTTGCTGTCAATCCCTTAACCATGTTAAAGCTTCTTCAAAGGGGGTTCTCTACATTTAGAAGAACTTGGAGAATGCTTTGGGGAAGCCATCATCAATGGCAAAAAGATAAAATCAAGTCTGAGTACAGTATTCTAAAACAGATGTCTTTACACAACAAGCTCCACCAGTGGTTTGGTGGTGTCCTTGCAACATATGGCTTATGATATGTTTTGCCATTGCTGAGAAATCTGTGAATTCTTGTAAATAATCATGAAATTATATAAAAAAAATACTACTACTAATAATAATAATGGGATGAAGTGGAGGTACAGTTGCGGAAATGTGTTTCTATGCCCCCTGAGGTAACACGTGTCTCCAAACGGCAACGTTGCAGTAGTACTAGTATCACTGTTTATGAATGAATGGGTATTGGTTGTGCAACGACGGACGTGATTGGTGGATAGGTTTGCTATGGGTTGTATAGGTTGGCCGTTTGGAGACACGAGTTACCACAGGGGGGATAGGTACACATTTCTGCAACTGTACCATGAGCATGTAATGCCAATCCTCAATTCACAAATTATGAAGGTCAGCTTTTGTGCTTTTAATTTTGTTGCTGATTTATTCAATTTATCTATGAATTTATTATCTTTTATTCCTCATTACTTTTGTGAGTAATAGGTAGGGATATAGGAGCAGAATGTCGCTGAAAGAATTAAGACAATAGAATTACGCAATACATTCTTAGGTACTACAGTGCATGGAATAGCTCTGCTCTTATTTCAGTAGAAAAACAAAGAGCACCGTTTCTTTCAGAAATCAGTAACAGAACCAGTAGTGATGCTGCTTATTTTGTCAGATTTGGTGCTTTTCACTGGTCGCCGCTTTTCTAAGAAACATTATTGAATTATTTATACAGCTGCAAAAAAAAAATATTTTGAAATGGAAAAAAACAGTAATATTTACTGTAATAAGCATTATATACATTTTATGAAATAAATGAATAGCTTAAAAACTTAGGCATTTTTTAGTACAGTACAGTACTGTAATATCTTGATGAATTGTATTACTGTACTATATACTCATATGTTTCTTCACTTTTCATGTGCATAGCTGGTTGATAAAAGTAGCAGCAGCTGGTGGTAGTGATAATGATGCTAAAATTTAAACTCATAAGTAACAGCAAAACAGTGAGAACAGATCTGTTTTTTCTGCCAGTAGCGATACCACAAGCATTGCTGCTCTAAACTGATAACACGCCCAGCAGTGCTTGTGCATTTTCTTAACTTGCTTATACTCTACAATAAACAAAATAAATCTTTAGTGTTTATTTATTCAAAGCAATAAGTGGTACTGTTTATGCAAATTTTTTAGTTATTTTAATATAAATTGTAAATACGGTAATTAATATTGATGGTGTGTACACAGATCTGTTGCTCTCTGAATTGGATGACTGGATGTCAGATGGAGAGTCTGATGGAGATGAGGAAGATATTGAGGAAGATGATAATCCTATGAAAAAGAAGAAAAAAGTTCAGGCAAAAGGCAGAACTCAACAAGGTTAGTATACAGAGTGTTACAAATGTTAGAAGTGTACAGTGAAGAGTTTTATAGTGAAGGCTCAGGTGATGTGTAAAAAGAAGGTTCTTCCACTGTCTCTGTTATTCAATTCAGTAATACCCCAGATTTACAGAAATCACATATCCCCAATTATGATAAAAATGCACGAACATAAATTTGGTGATCCCAGAGAGCAGAAGACAACTGTTTTAAATGACCTGCTGCCCATGACATAATAATTTCTCTCACTTCATGTAAATGGTCTTAGATCATTTTGTGTGACTGTGCTGCTGCTGCTGCTGTCACTTTATGGACCTGAACTAGATAAAAATGTTTTACAAATACCAATGATCTAAGTCAAGAAGAAAGTGGAATTACTTAACTTTGGAAGCAGAAGTACATAATTTAAGTGTTTATAATTATGATTGTGGTTCAAAGTAAATGCCATCAAGGAAGTGAACTTGTTAAGAAAATTTAAAAATTCACAAATTGAAGATGCTCTCAGTTCCAACAATACCAGGTTTTGAGGTTGTAATGTTTGACTTTAAAAGAAAACAATGGATTTTCTCTGAAGGTTTCATCAGGCCAAACAGTATAGCTAGTTCGGTTTCAGTTACTGTAATTACATGGTAAAAAAAAAAGTAGTTAAGATGTAAAATTACAGTAATCTTCCCATTAGCCGGAATAATTGGTGCAGAGCGTTCCAGGTTTGAAAGATTCCTGGGTATCGAGATGAATTTTCTCATCCCAGGAAGTTTTTGGGACACTGGTGAATGTTTCCGAATCAGACTGCAGTTGGACAGATACAAAGCTGTATTTATTTATGCAAACACTACTGTACATGTACACTATATTGTAAACACTGTGTACACAAAACATACTATTGTGTACACTAGACTGTGCTCACCAGCAGATGCCTACAGTAGGCATACACTGTCCATTCTGCAGTGTACTGTATTGTATTGTACAATACACTGTAGAACTACAGTCATGGATAGCTGCACAGAACCTACACTAGGGACCTCTAGCAATTAGAAAAATCGTAAATTAAAACTATGATATGATAAAAATAAAATAAGAAATTTAATAAGTTTAAAAATAAAAAATAAAATAAAATGCTACTTTAAAAATCACATTGCCAGAGGTCACTAATGTAAGTTGTGTGTGGCTGTCCATGAGTGTACATACAGTACAGTTCTTAGTCAATGTACAGTACAGTAAATGTAACTCTAATTACTTTTTACATCTAAACACAGCTTTAATAATAGTATTCTTGGCTGATTATCCCAGGTACAGTAATGTACATTACTGCACAACACAGATTGTATAAGAAAACAACAGTGAGCGAGTGAACAAGCTTGTACAATGGCAGCAGACAATGAATTAAGAGTGTCATGATGCTACAGTTTGAGAAGATGGCCTGCAAGATACATCAGCCAATCATAGGCATCCCATGTAGTCTAATGACAGTAATAACCAGTCATAGCTCACAAGCACTCTGAGCCTACCCACCCATATGCTCTGCACGTGTTGACGCATGGTGTAATCTCTCGGAAATTTGTTCGAATGCATGGCATGGAAAGATTTTTCCCGGAATTTCTTGAAAAAAGGGGGGGGGGATCGAAGATTCCAGCTAGTGGAGAGGTTACTGTACGTATTAAGTTTTATCGAGGGTCTGGGTAGTAAATAAGGTTTCAAAACCCCTCTGGTTTAACAGAACAGCTGACAGACTATTGAGGAAAAAACACCTTGAATGGAAGAAGTTTCAACCATGGAGAACATCTTTAACCAACATGTGCACACCAGACAAGTCTATAGTCAATCAGAAGAGTTGGAAAAGCTTATGAACAAAAGGTATTTAGATAAATTAAAATTAAGCTAAAAGCCCTGCTCAGACACATCAATAGTACCTGAAAAATCACCTACCACATAGGTAATTCGAATACGACTCAAGATAAATTTTATTAATTTTATATTTTTAAATACTGTACTGTACTCTTTATGTAAATTTAATAAATAAGGAAATGACCAAGTTGAATAAAAGAAAAAGCTAACATCATAGGTATACTGAGATTTTTAGCCCTCTTTACCAGAGGAAACACACACTCCTGAGCTTCAGGTGAGGCCTGATACAATACAGCCCATCAGTGTAATGTTTCCATGAGTTGTAACTACAGTATTTAGTTATGTGGTGCACAGCTAGTAAGTGGAATTTTCTCATAAAATACTTGTACAGTACTCTATTCACTGTTACTTTGAAAGAACATACAGTATACAGTGACCCCTCACCAACCACTGGTTTACCATCTGTGGTCATCATCATCATTTTATGACCATTTTCATGGATTATGTGGATTAGCCATGATTATATGATAGAAGATGTTGGGTAAAACCAGACCAGGATGCCCCCTTCCCCGCTCACCATCACAAACACAGAACATCAGCCTAGAAAATGCAGCAGAGACCAAGGGATGGGCACAGTTCTGGTAACCTGGTTGCCATCAGGCATGTTGAAGAAAAGTTTTATGGCTGGAGGCCCTTTCTAATGCCAACCCACAGGGTGGAAACAACCGGCAAGACAGGGTTGCAACTCTCTCAGGTAATCAGAGACTGCCCATCTACCTGAAGAGCTACTTGCATTTTATATATTTCATATATTGTATACCGTTTTACCAACCACAGTATCCAGTTTTTAGTAACTGCGAGTTTCCGTGGACACTGCAGAGATTTCTATCCCAGCATGGTGGGACTGCAAGGTACTTCAGATCATGTCACCAGCATTGATGGTTGTGGCTGAAATGAGTAGAGCTATGATCTTACAACATTCCCTTGCTCTTATTGTACTCACTCAGCCTTCTTTGCTCTTTCTAACAGTATCTCTCACCCTACAAAAATCCCTGTGATGCTACTGTCAATAAATTTCCAATGACTTTTTACAGTAAACCCTCTGAGTAACAAATTTCTCAATACTGGATATTCCCAATAACAGACACCTTTTTGTCGGGATGTTTGGGAATTTTTTTGCTATTGACTAGATTCAGTGTGGTGGCTGACAGTGCTTACAGAATGATGTGTCAAACAACACACTGAACTTTCATAGATGCTAAACTATTAAATGCAGTAATGCTTCCTCTAAGCACTACTAATTCATTATAAAAATTATTAGTTTCAATACAAATCCGAAATCTAATCTATACCGTATGACGGATTGTTTGTTCGTCTTTGATTGTACAATAGTACAGTATCTTGATTCTTGATACACTGTACTGATTGGGGCAGACCCCAGTCCGGAAAAAGCAAAAGTCCGAAAAAAAGTGAATTTATAGGGGGGTGGGGGTTGGTGAACATAACCCTTGTTTTGCTATTATTTCACTTAACTCTAAGTTTTTTTTCAGAAATGCTACCCCGATTGTTAAACAAGGGATACCTGTACATCAATTTACTTGGTACCAAAAGGTGCATGTTGTCAGAGGACTGTTCTGTTACAATTTACTCTCTTGTAAATTTTCTAATACCTGTACAGTATACTGTACATTATTTTAAAACAGTATTATAAAGGTCATTTTAAAATACACTACAGGATACAGTATACCTTATATAAGGTACTTGTTTATGTTCTTGAGCTGTACATTATAGGAGTTAATGTGTGTCCCTCTGGGTTCACTTCCTCTCACCTCTTTTTTACCCATTAGACCTTGGGAGAAATGTAAGACTTAACTCATGGTTGGTGAAGGGTTACTGTATATTAATTATTTATATTGACCATGAAAATTTATGGCATTTATTTAAAAAAAAGAAAGATTGTTTTTAACTGCTTATTTCCAGGTGGAAAGAAAACGAAAAATGTTGATGGTGAGAGTGATGAAGATTGTGGTGAGGAGAGTGATGAGTTTAATGATGGTGCTGAACATGACTATATATCCAGTGATTCATCAGAGTAAGTAAATGGTATTATTTTCATCACTCCTGTCAGTCCTTTTACAGTACATCCCAGAGTGGCCAAAATCAAGAGTAATATACTGTAACTCTTTCTGCATGCACTCATTCAGTCTCCTTAGCTGTTGTATCATGTGCTCTGCTGTCATGTCCCACAATAAACCCCAATACTATTTATAAATTTGGTTTATCACTGTTACGCTGTACAACTCAAACTTTAATAACATTTTTTAATGTTCACCATCTTAAGGTGATAAATGTTTCATCTGTGCCTTTGGTCAACATACCTCTTTTTGTCATGTAAAGCTTCCACTAAGATGCCTTGATTACTAACTGTTTTTGTTTGTTTTTCGCTACACAGAAATTTTCACTTCATATTATTTTCATAATTTTCTTTTTTTTTAGTCATACAGAATTTTACCACACTCCTTCATGTAAACAATTTACACCTCTAGGTGCTGGATTTCAATTGAGGCCACCAAGCATGGTAGTCAGACAGGTTACCAATCCAGTACTTCAAAAAAATACTTTTTTTACACTGCTGCAACACTTAAACATTCAAATTTGTCAGACAGATGTACACTCCTGACTTCTTGCCTAACTGTACATACCTTATTTAAAATTCATGATATTAACAAATGCTCTACATCATGTATTTGAAATAATATGTTTAAATAGAAAGACTGTAGAAAATTGTTTTGACACAACTATTTCATGTGTAAGGTGAGGATGCTTTAGGATTGAGCCAGTGAGCCTCTTGTGTTAACAGATATATGATGAGTAGATACGTATCTATTGAGACAAGTTATACGTGAAACCACACTTTCCTTACTGGATTACTGTAGCATTAATTAGATTTAATATGGAACTCTTCCTTACTAATACTGTAATTGGCAATCTTTATATAATTTCTTCAAATTTCTTAACTGTCCATTTGTTTAACTTTGAAACCATATCTAATGGAAGACATCTTGAGTACCTCCATTCTACTTGTGACAAGATTTGCACTAATCCTTATATTATATCATTCTTTACTTCCATTTACTGAAAGTGTTTTCAAGAGCTTAAAATTTGGATCATCTGAAGATTAGGCATCCTTACATGTTTTACCCGATAATTAAACACCTTAACACTAACCTAACCCCTCAGGTAGTGTTAGGATGTTTAATCTTCGGGTGAAATATATGGGGGGTGCTTAATCTTCAGGTGATCGAAATACAGTAAACACCCTGAGTACCAAACTAATTAAGCCACAGCAATGTCAATAATCAGACACAAACGTCCATATCAACAGGGAGGCACAACTGTAAAAAAAAAAAATAGCCAGCATATTACTGTACACTAACACAGATTGGCATATTTAGGCTCATAATAAATCAGTTGAAGTAAAATTATCATTCTTATGATAAGATGTACAGTCAACCAAAAAAATTTCTGCACCTTTATGGTGTTATACAATATGACACAACGGACCAAGAATCCTGAACAACACTCATTTACATAGGTGATTCCTGTTAATTTCTCTGTATTAACTATATGTGATATATAAAATACATAATATCAGTTTTACAATGCATCACACAACCAGAAGTACCAACCTTACCAAATTAACATGGCCTCAGTTAGTGATTTTTGCAGAGGCCATCAGACCAAGGGGTGCAGAATTTTTTTTTGCTGACTGTACTTTCCGCAAATTCAGTTGCTTTTTATTTAAAGTGTTAAAATATGTAGGTAAGGTTCTAGATTTTAGAAGCTTTCTGAGCCTTAGAGAAGATTTTTTAAGGTTCCAAAGTCCCAACATACATAATTATATACTGTATGTGTCATGGATGGCCTTATGCGGTGTGAGATAGTGGATGATGTGGGATGTTTACAGTACACCTCTGGCAATGAAGTGGATATGTTCACAAAATCCACTTTGTTCTCGGGAACTTAATTGTCATAGGTAGATATAACAGTGAGTAAAGGGGAAGCTTCCAATCGTTCAATATTCAGTATTTTACATACATAAAAAATTTGCAAAAGTTGGTATACTGACATGTAAGATTTTTTTTTTTCTCTCCAAGATTTGTGTCGGCATTCAGATGTGTCGTTACTCAGGTAGTCCGGTACTCAGGGTTTTTACTGTAGTTTTCATTCATGCCTCTTAGGGTATAACCTTAGGCATAGGTAGAATTGGATTAATCTAGAGTGCTAATTATTCAGGAGTTTTTCAACCATAATCTTAATCTTGAAAATGAATTGATGTTATGCGAACCATAACTTTATAATCGCCATAAAAACAAAAACAAACAAAACGTAGTTAAAGCGTGGAGCTCACTATATCTCTGAACTAATTGTGATAGCACAATCATTCTTGTATGAAATTGAAGGTTACATACTCAGGATTATGATGCAATAACCATATAATAACAATCATGTCATGATTACTCGTAATCATGAAAATGATCATAACATTAGCAATTTAGAGGCATTAGATTTTCATGAAATTTAAATATTTTTATATATACTCATGTACATCATAACTAATCATAATCAGTACTGAAAATGTCCATGAGATTAAAGAGATCACTGTAATAATAATAATAATAATAATATACGGTTTATTGAAAAAGTTTGCAGCCCGAAGGCTGAAAATGTACATTGGACACAACTGACTTATTACATACATTGGTGGTTTAACAAAAGCCTTCATTAGAGAAAGGTGAAGGAACATATAGTGAACATACAGATTAATGTTTACACACGTAGATCATGTGAGCTGAGGTGTTGAACAGCAGACATGTAGTGTAGTAACTCCCTCACAGATGGCGTTATGAGAGGCATCACGTGGAGTACTAGTTCCCTCACAGGTGGTGTTATGAGGGGCTTGACGTGGTGTAGTAATTCCCTCACAGATGGTGTTACGAGGGGCCTGATGATGTAGTAGTTACCTCACAGATGGTGTATGAGGGGCCTGATGATGTAGTAATTCCCTCACAGATGGTGTTATGAGGGGCATCACATGGCATAGTAATTCCCTCACAGATGGTGTTATGAGGGGCATCACGTGGTGTAGTAATTCCCTCACAGATGGTGTTATGAGGAACTTCACATGATGCTGTAACAACTCATTCTCTACGTGGTGTTGTAGCATCATAGGGACACCACGTGGTCCGTTGTCACAGGACTTCACTCACTCAAGTGGGTGAGGTGTGGTCCCAGGCCTCTCTATCGTGGAGTCTCGGGGGAATTATCATGGGGTACCTGGGACCTCACTGTGTGAAGGTTAGCTTGGGTAAGATTCGACTGCCGAGTTGTTTTTCACTGACTTAAGCACTGTTCACCACTATTCAACACTGGTTCCATTCCTTTCCCAAATGAAATAGTAACTTCTGGCGAAAACTTGTTGATATTCCGGTGGGGAGGAGGGTTCAGGGGAGGGAGTTGGTATGGGCCAACATAACAGTTGATGTGGCTGTTGCTGAGCAGCCCCAGGTGCGTCTGACCCGTCTTGACCCGCCTTTTATGGCAAAAAATTTAATGTACGTGTTGGAAATAAAGATATGGTAATACAAAGATTATTGCTTGCAAAATAATGTATATATACAAAGGATCACACTGTTTCGTAGACATCATTCACTTTGTGCTACCATTGGAGCAACTCGGCAGGAGGGAGACAAGTGCGAGAGCACACCCCACACCAGCACCGTGAACTTACAGCTGACAGTCTCTTTACTGAAATACAATATTTTACCCTACAAACTACAGTATTGCCTCATGCTCCCTTGGCCTCAAAATCAAATGGCAATAGGTGTGGGAATATGATCGGATAAAACAAAGTTATGGTTTGCTTATCCTCAATTTATCTACATGTTTAAGGAGGAATTGGTCATTATCAGGCCAGGTACTGACTGAATAAGCAAGAAGACAAGTGTATGAAAATAGGCAGTTGTTGTGTATAAAAGAGAGATGACCAGTTAGTGGTATGAGAGTAACAGCTAATTAGTTAATGTGTAAGGGAGATGCTTTGTTAGTAAAGTGAAACCCCCATATAATGGACTTTTCTCTCTATATAATTACAGTTGTTAGATGGGGAGTTTCACATCTAACGGGCCTTCAATGTAAGGGACTTTCCTCTCCATATAATCCGTTATGTAGAGGTTTCACTGTAAGTGTGTTAGAGAGATGGAAAATTGGTTAATGTGTAATGGAGATGGTTAGTTAGTGTGTGAGAGACAAATCTGTCACATACAGAGTATTTTGTATTTTAAGTTGGTGGTGATAATGAGGAAAGCACACATTTCATTACCATTTGTTTCTTGATGTGCAGCTCAGAGGCTGAGAATGATGAGGTGGTGAGGAAGGAGTTGGCTGGAGTGGATCAAGCAGATGCACTGAAGAAACTTCTAGATTCTGAGGAAGAAGATGAAGAAGAGAAAGATAAAGAAAAAGAAAAAGAGGGTGAAGAGAAGAAGGAAACAGAAGAAGGAAAAGAAGAGAAAGACAAAAAGAAGAAGAAGAAAAAGAAGAAGAAGGATAAGAAAACAGATGCCAATAAAGAGGGTAAGATTTTTTCTACAGATTTTGATCATATTTTATTTTATTTGACATATATGATTTGGAATTAGGTTATGTGTTTCATTTACGGTTTTGGGAGATATTACTAACAGGACACAATGGTTTGTACTAATTTTGAGTTTTAAAGAGTGTTTGAAACTTTACCGCATTTGTCACATAATGTTCTCAAGACATTACAGAATACTTTATACGGGAGTACAGTAGTTAATTACCATAGAAGAATAAAACCAATTTTGTAAAGATTCAGTGGGTCAGCAGACTCTGTCATAGATACAGTAGCTACAGTATAGAAGTACAGGTATTATGAACACCATTTATTAAATTCATGCTTATTGATTTAGGATTATTTTCAGTGATACCGGCACACTTCTGTGACCAGATCTTCATCTGTTTGTTCAATACTCTGTAATAATATACATCATGATCTGCCTTGTGTTTGTCCAGTCATCCTGATTGAAGTGATTATTTTTTTCTGAGTAGACTTGCTCCTTTTTTCATAATTATTTCAAAATTAAATGTATATTTAAGACAATATGATAGACTCTTGATTGTTGCTGATTATAGCAGCCTAAATGGAGAAGTAAAAAGATGTATATACTCATTGATTGGAGAAAAGGAGGATTGAGATTTTATGCACAACATGGGCCCATGCTTTAGATATTACAGTGAAACAGCATACAATCTGATTTGTGTTAGGACAGTCAGACTTATGATTAAGCTTCTTTTTGTGTGCATTTTGCATGTTGAATTTTTTTTAGTTAGACTCCAGAATGAAACATAAGCTGTAAAGTACCAATAGGTATGATACAGTTATGATAATTAAAGCAGAAAGTAAGGAATTTACTTACATTCACATAAATATACACACAAACCATTTGATACTCATTCACAATCATCATTTTCCCTATTGTGCCCCCCCTCTTGGTTTCTGTACCTTTTGATCCATGCAGCACAAAAGTGGGAGAGGGGTAAGGAAAATATAGTTATTATTTTTACATTGCAGACTCTGATGCCAAGACTTCAGACACGAGTGATGATGAGGGAAACAGCAAGAGGAAGAGAAGGGATAAGGATGGAGAACTGTAAGATTTTCACAAGATTGTGAAAATAAATGTGTTAATATCACCATTGGTTATAAGCCTGGGTGATGCTTGCAGTTTCTTGAGCTTGGTATGGCTGTTGAAGCATGGGTTTGGCAGACTGAAGTCCAGATTTATTTCCTTTGGTTTCCAAGTGTCTTGCCAATTAAGAGGGCACTTGGAAGTCCTACATACAAATGGCCAGTTCCCACTCTGTAAAAGTGGGTTGGTGATAGGAAGGACATCTAGCCATAAATCTTAATTCATATTTGCCTCGTGGCAACTGAGATACCATACCATGAGGTAATCATGGCTAACCCACACAAAGTTGGAAAATAGGAGTAAATGGTAAGGGTGATGATGGTAAGTTAGTGAAGACTGTGTTTGTTACTCAAGTATGATGGGATTAGTTGATGCTTTGGTTAGCTCCTTGGGCTTGGTGGGTCAGTTAATCTAGATTGGTTCCTTAAGTTTGGCTGGGAATATAGAGATTTGGTTAATTTCTTGGGTTTAGCTTAGGCAGTAAAACTGGGTTAGTGGACTGAATAATTGAGGAGCTTTATATATGATATTGGTAATACAGTTATGGACAAAGTTAGCAAATCAGCTTAATATGCTCTGTTGTCAGAATTAAGTTTTCTGACAAACCACAGGAGAAACAGGACAGTTGCCTTAGCTACCTCTGAGACTGGAGTTCTTTTTGGGGGGATGTAAGATTCCATATGAGAAACTTCATTCAAAAGTTTAATTACGAGTACAGATTTGGGTCATAACCTAGATATGAATAGAAACGTACAGTATCTAAAATTCATGGTCATCAGTTGTGAAAGGATACAATTTCTGGTTTTGAAGAAAGGGTGTTTTGATGAAACCCTGAAATCACTGGGTATACAGAGATAATGGAGTTTGAAGACTACGTACGAGTACAGTATACTAGTACAGTATGTTTACTATTTATCCGTTCAAGACATTTATCTTACTTTGTAATGCAGTTACAAAAAATTTCAGAACTGGTAAAGGACATGGGAAGTCCGAGGATGGAACCGGTGGCAAACGGAAATTAAAGGGCAATCCTACAGAGAGCATGGCAAAGAAGCAGCGCACTGATTTGGGTGCAGCAGGACCCTCATCGCTTGTTGCTGCTCCAGGAAGGTATGTATTGCCCTGCTTTGTAAGCTTTTTCTTAAATGCATAAGTAAAGTAGGGAGTGTAATGGCATCACCATCTGTCTGGCCATCCTGGATTGTAGCAGGAAAAAGCTCTCCAGATTTTTGTTTCATTTATAGTGTTGCCAGCACGGGCTAGATTACAGTTTCTCAAATTTTCTTTTATGAATCATTGGTCTTTAACATCTTCCATTGTAATGAAAACATTTCAGCTACCATAGCTAGAAGTCACAGAAATATTTTGTTTTATTACATTTTACAATTTGCTGATATGATTGCATTTAATTACGCTGTAATTTACATTGCAGTGACAGCGGTGTAACAGAGGAAGCAATCCGTAGGTATTTGATGCGCAAGCCCATGACCACTACTGAGCTTCTTCACAAATTTAAGTGCAAGAAGACTGGTCTCAATTCAGACCAACTAGTACATGCGATTGCTCAAATCTTGAAGCGTATCAACCCAACCAAGCAGATGGTTAAAGGCAAGATGTATCTTTCCATAAAACAGTAATGGAATAGTTTAGTTTAGTTTCAATATTATATCATAAAGGTTGTTTCTGGGGATGGACCAGTTATGTATTCAGCTGTTGGCTTCTGCCATTGAATGTAGAAATGATAATGTACTGTATTGTTCATGTGGAAAGGGTAGGATGAAGTGAAGGTAAGGTGTCCTTATATTCAGAACAGTCTCTGAATTGTTTCTCAAGAATATACTTCACTGAGTAAAAAAAAACATTTAACTAAATACGGTACCATTAATTTTCATACTTCTGTAATATTATTTGTACGTTGGTTGTTTCTGTATTTGATCACACTTTAAATATTTGCAAGCTTGAGAGTATAGGCTTTGGTGATATGGAAAGAAATATTTTGTACTGTATTTCTTTAAGGATTTTTCATTTTGTGGGTTCAGTGTTTACTTGATTTCTTAATTTGTACTGTATTTAGTCATTTGGAAAATAAAAGGATGTCATAATCTATCTTCTAATTTTGAGTTTCTTTACATTTGTTTTAGTAAAATTTCAGTAATAAGTATGCAACTATTTCATAAATATACTGTACTGTACTTTTGAAGGAGAGTTGATGATTGTATGAGTATGGGATATCTTAAAAGAAGAATCATAGTAAGCAGTGACTGAAGTGTATTGTAGAGATTTTACTTTGCCTTTATTCTCTCCAACCTAGCACAATGGTTCGAGGTTTACCAGACTGTAAGTTTCTTGCACTACCAAGCATGTCTCCAGTAATCTGATGTGTCATTGGTACACCTTTGTCAAGATCATAATATTTAAAGTGGCAACTCTGGTGGTGCTACTCAGCTGTTTTAGAACACTTTAACCATTTTAATTAAAATTTTGGGAAAGAACTTCAATATAAGCTCTGCCCATTAGTTAATCATTGCCATTGGGGATCATCATGTAGGGAATTCATTGAGAGAATTTTTTTATTTCCAAGGATAGGATAGGATAAAGACAAGTGACAGGGGAAGAAGGTTCAGTGGAAGAATAAAGGGGGGGGGGGTGGAAGGGAGTTGTAGTATTTTAATGATGTATATAAATGCTTTGTGTTTTAACGTTGATATTAATTGATTTGCATGTATGTATGATGAGATCAAGAACAGTTTGCAATGTGAAAAGACAATAATACATTATTCCTACTGGAAACACTTCTTCCATGAGGGTAGGCAAAAATTCCCCATGACCCAAAGTAAACATACACTCATGGCAAGAGCCCACAAGAATTGAAGCTGTGCCACTGGAAGACTGTGGTCAGGGCACCAACACACCAGTAGTGAATACCATATAGGGAGCAATAGATGGTCAGATGTTAATTTTTTTGTGTACTGTAATTTTATATTTTTCAGGCTGATAATCTTGTCCTAGGCCTATTTTTGTGTTAAATTGAATGATTTAGCCCAATGCCCGTCTTTCCTGACCATATAGAGAAAGGTTTTTGTGACTTGAAGGATGCTTTTCAAAATGTGTCTTAATGCAAACACAGTACTAGTGATTACTCTTGTGTAATCTGATATTGATGGATCAAATCCTGTAGTAAAGATGTTTATACAAAAGTGAATTAATATTTGGTTTCAATAGATATTGGCTCTGCAACATTGGCTTGTAGTAAAATATTGGACTACATGACAGAGTCTCCATGCCATAAATTAAATGCGCAACAAACCCGAGCGAATTTGGACATGGCTAGTTTGGAATTGGGCTTGTTTTTGGCCACTTTAGAACTACAGTACAGTATTGTAAAAATAATTATTATTTCAGAAAAAGTAAAAACTATTTAATCTACTGTGTGTGTGTGTGGTATGAATTTGTGGTGACTTCTCACATGAGCTTGTTCTGTCGACATAGCTTTAGGTCATTTTTGCTGAGCTACATTTTGCATTTATCACTTGAATTTTGGTTTTGTGACATTTTTCAAGAACTAAATGGTGGTTCTGTTCATGGTTCTAGTAAGAAACATTTCAGATAAGCTGAAAATATTAAACAGTTAAGACACTTAAGAGTGGAGTAAGTGCTAAAAAGTGCTTTAACAGGAATGTGAATTGAAGAAAAGCACTGATTGTGACATTAAGGTCAAAGTGAATCTGAGGAAATTTCAAGTCAGCAAAAAAGTGAAGCTTCTTAATCAAGGAAACTTGTGTGAATAGGGAAGCACAAAAGTTAGAAAGTGTGGTGTAAAAGTGGTTACTGTACCAGCAACAGATGGCTAATGTTCTGGTGGTGATGTGGAATGTGTAAGAGCTTCTGGATGCTTACCGAGCCATTTAAAAAAAAAAGTTATTGTAGTGATTTTTTATTTGTGTGTCAACTGTGTCTTTAAATACTGTAGAGATTAGATTGGGGTTGGCTCCACATGCTGCAGTTGTTAAGAATGTAGCAGTTCTTGGAATAGGTTTTTCAAGAATTAAGGATGGTAATATGGCAAAGTAAAGCTTTAGTTTGTAAAAGATGGCACTGAAATAGCAATGTGATGGCAAAATGATATAATAGCATGTAGATGCTATGCCCTGTGTTTAAATAAATTTTGCCATATACTGTACAATATCTTTACGAGGAATAGAATACTGTTGTTATTTGTGGATCTGAGAAGGTATGTTCTAAGTTTTGAGAGCTTACATTGGGAAACACTTACAGGGAGGGAATACTACTGTCTTTGAGATGCACATAGAACAAGTTATTCATATGTATGATGTTAAAAGATATTTAGAGTAACAAATAAAGGCGTCATCCTGAGAACAATTAGTTACGTGAGAGTTCTGCTGTAGATCTGGTCTGTAAAAACTTATTCTCTGTTAAGAATTAACACTGATTGAAGTGACACAGGATTTATTTATTTTTTGTACAGTTGAGAATCAAGACAGTGTAGAAAGAATGAAGGTTGCTTTAACATGTAAATATGCTTTGAGAAAAGAAATATCTTTCCCTACCTTGAAAGTGCTTATGTGAGTATCCAAGACCAAGCTGTCTTCAACTTACAAGTTAATCTATAACCACATATTTATATGAAGAATTATACCACATGTAATACTGTAAATTCTTTTGAGATGACGGTACACAAATGTAAGAGGCTTTTATATTTTTACCTTTAAAATAAAAAGAATATATCTGTACTTACTTGGATAACCAGGATTCACATTTATACAGTCATATTTTCCTGGCATTTTTATGTATGGTTACTAATATGTCATTGCTTTTCATATATTGTACAGTATAGTGTATAATACAAATTTTAATAAATACTGTAGTCGATAGTAACTTTGATATGGTAGATAAAATAACTGAGCGCAATGATGTAAGGGTTTCCATGTAATTATTTCAGGCTTATTTTCATTTATTCTTGTTTGAAAACCCATTGCTCATCAATAAATGTAGCCTTTTTAATGAAATACTTTTTTCTTCTCAGTAAAATTGGAAATCCTGGACTTAAAACAGTAATATTATGCTGAAGTTCTGAATTATGCAATGCATTTTTTTTTTGTGTATAAGAAACTAGATGTAAAGAAGGTTCAACAATATTGATTACTGGTAAGAAAGACAGGTACAAAATCTTCTGGGTCAGGTGGTGTTGGTGATCTTCATTGCTGAAAAGTGTGTGGAGAAAGTGCTAGAGATAAAAAAGGTAAATGCAAAAGAATTCTCCTTTGAAGCGAATGGTAGGCATGAATCTGATGACAGTTGGATTTGCATACTGAATATATATACTGTACAGTATAGTCTGCATTTACGCGGATTTGGTTTACGCGTTTGGTCATTTACGCGGCACTTTGCCAGAATGAAAATTTTAAGTTACGAGGCTCATTCCATTTACGCGGGAAACGGCGCCTGGAGGGTGCTCATTAGGTCGCTCTTACGTTATCGCTGACGTCATATGACGTATCAGACCGTGATTGGGCCACGCATCCTTACCTCCCTCCGCCGCTAGCTGTGATTGGTCTAATGTAACATGACGTGCCCTGCCCCCAGAGGGAAGAAGTCGCTGACCTAGCCGGGCCAGTCTCATTGTTCTCAGTTCTCCGCGTATACAGTTCTCTCTTGTGCCCGCTATTCCCCTCACAATGGCTTCCGCTGGACCCCCACCACCCCCGAGAAACCTTGAACTACCTGGACCAAGCCATGGTTATGTGAAGGAAGTCATCGAGTTGGGGGAGAAAATCAAGCTCATCCTTGACAAAGACACAGTCAAGCATCGGTATGAAGTGTCTAATAACCTTCTGTCGAAAATTATGGAGCCGTATGTCCAGATGTATCACGACAACCTCAATGCTAGTCGTCAACGTAGTATTACGGACTTCTTCGCCCGCAACCCACCACAACCACAGTCACCCCAAGTCAGTGATAATGAGGATATGGACTTTGAGGGGTTTGTCAGGGAGGCCCTGCAAACCTCTGTGAGTAGTGATAATGATTCACCGGAGGGCCACTAATCTGCCCTCTGCCTCGGAACCAGCCGCCATCCACGTGTGCCGACCCATCTCTTCTACTAACGTAAGTGTTAAACACCTTTAGATTTGTACAGTAGTGTAGTTTTTATGTATGTGTCAATACCATCATAAAATTATGATGTTATTTTTACCACAAGGTACGTATTGTGTTGGAAAAAGTGAAATTTGGAAGTCGGCCCAGTCTCTATTTCAATTACTGTAATCCCATATGTTCTGTTATTTCGTTTAAGTGTTTCTCGTTTTACTCGGACCTCCACAGGTGACTGCATAAATGCAGCACTATATATATATATATATATATATATATATATATATATATATATATATATATATATATATATATATATATATATATATATAATATATATATATATATATATATATATATATATATATATATATATATATATATATATATATATATATATATATATATATATATATATATATATATATATATATATATATATATATGCTGATAACCACAAGGAAGAAGAAAACACGAAGTTCTTAAGCGCTGTAATTCACATCTTCAGGTGAGTACAGACTGGAGAGAACTCATCAAACTATGTATTAAGGATTGCAATCTGAATTCAATGGGGAATATTATGCTCAAAATTTGGTATGGCAATGGGTAATCCACTCTCACCTGTATTAAGCAACCTATATATGGAATTCTTGAAAAAGAAACTATTAAGTAATATTTTACCACCTCAGCAGTCTGGTTTAGATATGTTGATGATGTATTATGTCTCTGGCCGTATGAGGAGACCCAAAAGCTTCCTACCACAACTTAATAACTTAGCCCTCGATCAAATTCACTGTGAATTAGAGCAAGACTGTAAATTGCCATTCCTAGACTGTCTGATACACAGAATAGGTAACACTTTAAGTTCAGTATTTATAGAAAACCAACTAATGTGTGTTCATACATTCATTATTATTCTGCCCACCATAATAAAGTCAAACAGTCAGTATTTTCAACAATGTTTTTACGTGCCTAGAGAATTTGCAGTCCAGAATTCATCGAGGAATACAAATATATATATAATATTGGCTCAAACCTAAATACCCTAGATCTTTCATAGACAAATGCTTAAACATTACTAAGAAAACTTTTATAGAACTGACCCCAAGCCCACCCATGACCATATAAGAATATCTTAATATAACCATTTCACATTTCTCACACATTCCTGCACAGCTAAAAACCTGAACGTCAATGTGGCATTTAAAAACTCATGCACTGTTAAACAAATGTTAATCAAGAACTCCCCAACAACACAATTGGTTGCATTTATAAAGTTCCTTGCAAGGAATGTAATATGTTTTACTTAGGCCAGACAGGTAAAGATCTTGCAACTAGAATTAAACAACACAAATACAGAGTAGGACAGGCCAAAATCCAATGCTCTGTTCATTTAGAGGGATAACAAGCATTGCATTGACTGGGATAATGCCTCCTCAATATTACCATGTAATTCAATTGATAGTAGGAACATCATAGAATCTAGTCTTATTAAACATACCGAAGCATTCAACATGAATTTGAGTAACGGCATGTACAAGCTGGACAATTTTGTAATTAAGAAGATTTGTGATCAGGTGAGAAGGCCGGTCACTTGACCATCTGACCTGACCACCAACCGTTGTTTAAAGATTAGTAGGGTCATTACCTAATACCTGACCATTGTGGACCTGATCTCACCCTCCCTGTATATATACACCTTGATTTGTATTTCTCTCTAGTCTGTACTCACCCCTGAAGATGAATTACACGAAAGCGCTTGGAACTCGTGTTTTCTTCTTTCCTTGTGGTTATCAGCATATACCTAGATCACGCGCACCTACAGTGATTTACTGTATATATATATATATATATATATATATATATATATATATATATATATATATATATATATACACACACACTTTGAAAAATCTGCACCCTTGTATACGTACTCATATAGGATGGGGGGAAGGACCATCACAGCAGGAATGTCTCCTGTCTCCTGCTCCTCTCCACACAATCTGCTAATCTCCTGTAACTTCCTGTCCTCACTTTCTCCCGTCCTCCTGTCTCCCTCACCTCCACTCTCTCCAGCCCTCCTCCTCCCTGCCCTCCTCCCTCCTCCTTACCATTCCATCTCTCTCTCTCTCTCTCTCTCTCTCTCTCTCTCCTTCCCTAGTCCCTTTCCCTCCCTCCCCCCCTCCATCTCTAATGTTTTCTCCTCTCACATCCCCCTCCAGTCATTCTCTCTTCAGTCTCCATTCTTCTCCTTCCATTCCTCCTCTCCCCGCTTCTTTCCCAATCCTCCTCTCTCCTCCCGCCCTGCTGTCTCATACCAAAAACATTTAATGTACATCATTATTTTATCACCATTTTAAATTGTCATATATGATAAAAACATCTATAGTATTGTGTTTTTGGTAGAAGGATAAATTGTCAGGAAAGGAATGTCCGATAATTGACCAATTTTCATTTAATCAACGACGTTTAATGTTTTGTATCATATGCCGTAGAGTTATGGCAAGTGTGATGGGAGATATCTTCAGTGTTTATGTGTAATAACTGGGAAGGGAAAACTTGTGAGAGGATAGACAGATGGAGTAACGGGAACCAGTTTACCCTGCAGTCCCCTCTCATCTCACCACTATGTTACAAGCAATAATTCAGTACTAGGTATCATCATACACAAATGAAAAGAAACTAGCATTCGAGACAAAAAATAGTCAACAGGGATTGAACAATATTTAACTCGTGAGAATTCCTTGTGACGAGCTTCAAAGTTAACTGTGTAAAGTCAGTGAGTGCAACACTAAAACTTAAAAGACAACGAAACCAGAATACACTTAATGTGACCTAACCTATCAGAAGTCATACAGAACCTTTGGGGGCAGACAGTCTCGGCTTTGATTACGTTATGGTGGCTACAACTTTCATACTGATTTAGTCATTTTTTCATCGAAATATATTATATCCAGTGTCGTGTTTTTGCAGAGTTTTAACGCCGTATCTTTGTATTCTAGGTTGGGCATATTCCTTTGACAGCGTCGGGTCCAATATTTTTAGAAGGGGAGGGGGAAGCGTTGTTCAGATGGACGATTACGATACGAAATTAAAGGGAGGGAGAGATGGGGCAGGGGGAAAGTGAGAGGAAACTAAGGGTGGAGAGTGAAGAACTGGACTGACTCATCACTGACCTGGCCCAGTCAGGTTTACCTGTTACACACGTTAACCTCCGTGGCCCTCCCACCTTTAACACTTGCCCACCTCCACCCCCACCACAGCCCACCTCATCCCACTTACAGCCCCACCATAGCACACTTCCACCCCCCAACAAAGCCCGCCTCCACCCTACTACAACCCACCTCTTAGCACTTGCCCACCTCCAGCTCTATCACAACCCACCTCCACCACAGCCCACCCCCATGACAGCCCACCTCCAGCTCCACCGCAACCCACCTATCCCCAAAACTGCGCCCACCCTAGAGGACCGAGATGTAGAGAAGGTTTCTTATAATTTATCAAGCTCTATTTGGAACTCAAAGGGTGATGTAACCTTCTCCAATTTAACAAAGGATTATCGTGTTTTCAAATGTTCCAGTCTTAGCAGCAACTGGGACTGCTGAATATACACTAAAGGTTACACGTGCAGGATCGTGAGAGTGTCGGAGATAGGATATTATTGTACTATTCAGTGTTCGTTTACAGCCGCTAACGTCGTGACTCCCGCCAAGCAGTACAAATAATTCCTACCTGTACTGTCTGGTGCTGGCGACCCTCCAGCCACTCACTAAGCTAATCTCTGTGTTCTTCAAAGCCTAGTAGTGCTAAGTGTACAAGTTATCGAGGCCCTACAACTGTCCTCGTGTTGCTGCTACCTTTTCTTTATATGTAAGCACAAAATGAAATCACAAACGCGTAGTAATGCGAAAGTATTTTACGTCTATATGCACACACTGAAAAAATATACGTATATGATCAGAGGAAACATGAGTATGAACTCCTGAGTATTGACAGCACTGCCAGACTCTGCAATGTACCGTAGCTTTGTCCTCCACCTTTGACAGACCTTATAAAAATTAATTTTCTCCCTTTACTGAGTCAATCTTCTATACTTTGACCCGAGTGTTATATACACCGTTATACCGTTCTTATGCAACTTAATATAACCGCGTTAGCTCACAGGAATTTATATTTATTGCACTCAAACTTCATGATTTTTTTATGTTTGTTAAAACAATATTAACAGTACAGTATTAACACGCGGGAGATCAATTTTTTTTGGATAATGAACGAAGGAAAATTCTCTTTCGTAACACACACACACACACACACACACACATATATATATATATATATATATATATATATATATATATATATATATATATATATATATGTGTGTGTGCAAGTAAATCACTGTAGGTGCGCGTGATCCAGGTATATGCTGATAATCACAAGGAAAAACACTTCGTGTTTTCCTTTTCCTTGTGGTTATCAGATATATATATATATATATAATGTGTGTGTGTGTGTGTGTGTGTCGCTACTCGTGTTTGCAGTCGTCCGACCTTGGAGTCTAAAATCCGGATTTTATTTTTTTACTCGCTGTGTTAATACGCCGCAGTTGTTGTTCGTGCTGCCAGGAAGCCTTGGGTCGTGGGCGTTTTTTTTTTTTCATTTCACAAAAATGTTTGTTTTGTTAAAGTACAGACCTTAAAAATATACTTTTTACCGTCCGAATATATTTTGTAATATGCCAATGATATGTCAACACTTTGGCACTGTAAGATCATGGGGGTGTAGTATGATGGTAGTGTGGTGATAAGGCACTGTGATGTGAAAGTTTAATGGTGTGGCGGTGTATTAGTGGATTAATTTTACCTTTTTTTCTCAAACTGAAATTGTGCATTCATTCATAAAATTTCGGTCCAGAAATCTCAAAAACAGACATTTGGGCGGAAGATTGAAAGGTTGCGGCGTCTCTTACCTCCAGAATTCTCTACTGGTGGTGGCGTGGCGTGTGGTGATGTTGTAAGGTGGTGATGTGATAGTGTAGCAGTATGGTGGTATGGCAGTGTAATGGTGTGACATTATGGTAGTGCGACATTGTGGTGGTGTGGCAGTGTAGTGGTATGACATTGTGGTGGTGTGGCAGTGTGGTGGTCTGACATTGTGGTGGTGTGGCAGTGTAATGGTGTGGCATTGTGGTGGTGTGGCAGTGTGGTGGTATAGCAGTATGGTGGTGTGGTAGTGTGGTGATATGACGGTGTGGTGGTGTGACTGTGGCGATGTGACATTGTTGCAGTGTAGTGGTTTGACAATGTGGTGGTGTGGTGGTGAGACAATGTGGTGATGTGACAGTGGCGGTGTGGCAGTGTAGTGGTGTGACAATGTGGTGGTGTGGCATGGGGCAGTGTGGGGGAGAACCTTGCTGGGTGGAGGTGTATAGACTAGTGAGAGACAGTGTGGTGGTGGCTGTGGTTGAGTGAGGACGGACCAGCAGTACAGTGTGTTCCCTCATAGCGGGCTGACTGTACAGGCAACAACTGGCGCCTGCGTATAACAGTATCTGATCGCTGTTATATGTAATTTTCAACCACAAATCTCATTGTCACTCCTTACAGATCCTGTAATATTATCAAATGGAACCAAAATCCTATAGTTTTTCACATAAGAAACCTGGATAAGTGTCCTGTACAAATTAAAGACGACTTTGAGGATACGTTTTTTGAAGGATGTAATGGGACTTTCGCAGAGGTTTATTCCCGTCTCCTGCCAGCACCTCCCCGTACTCTACCCATCCCCTGGTGAGCAGAAATTATGATCAGTATCTTAACCACGACGCAGATAATCTTGTTTTTCCCTCACACTGAAGACGGGAGAACAAGGCCAGTCACGAAAGAGCGTTGGCGCAATGTCGACGTCAGTTATGTCACTCACTGTCCTTCGATCTCCTGAAGATTCGCTCCAATCCTAACACCACCTGTGAGGGAGAGGTGTTAAGTTAGGTTACCGTACGGGTAGTTAATCTTGAGGTGATCCCTATCTTTGGTTCATTAAGGTGAGTCAACATTAATGCTTTCACACACTACTACTCACGGGGGGGGGGGGTGGAATTTATCAAACCACCTGAAGATTAGACACCACAACTTATTTCACCTGAAGATTAGACACCACAGTTTATTTCACCTGAAGATTAGATACCACAGCTTTTTTCACCTGAAGATTAGACACCACAGCCTATTCCACCTGAAGATTAGACACCACAACTTATTTCACCTGAAGATTAAACATCACAGCTTATTCCACCTTAAGATTAGACACCACAGCCTATTCCACCTGAAGATTAGACACCACAACTTTTTTCACCTGCAGATTAGATACCACAGCTTTTTTCACCTGAAGATTAGACACCACAGCTTTTTTCACCTGAAGATTAGATAACCCACAATGTAGAGTTAAGGTGTTTATGCATCAGACGAAATAAGGCTGGTGTCTAATCGTTAGGTGATCCAGTTCATCTTAAGTAGTTTTGAGTATCTGAACCTAAGACGTTTTCGGCCTCTCAAGTGGTGCATATTGCGTGTTTCAGCCCACTAGTTAATACAGGTACGCGTATACCATATGTGTGTGTGTGTGTGCGTGCGTGCGTTAGGTTTGTTTGTATTCTATGTGGTGTTTTATATGTATACTAATATATCTACAGTGTGCTTCATGTGTGTGTAGTTGTATTTGCTTTATACTATCATCTTCGTCAAACTTCGTGTGTGTGTATTTAAGTTTTTGCTCAAACTTGTCCGCGTATTTTGCCAATGACATGTGATCGAATCCCGTTATTCGATGTTGAAGACGATTCACTAGACGATTCACTAGACGATTAGCCCCAAACTTATTTCACCTGGAGGGCTAGGTCTGATACAGCTAGATTAATGTAGGTTAAGTTAAGTTAAACTAGATTAGTGTAGGTTATATTAGGTAAGGTGCACGGTATATGTATATTATTTGTATACCGTTTTGTCTATGTCCAGTACATTGTATACCTGTGCTGCCAATGTACTGTATATGCTGAATCAATGTAAACTTGTATGGCGATTGTACTGTAGCCTATTCATCTATCGGTCACCTCTCTATCTATGCTATCATCTATCTATCTATATATCTATCTATCCATCTATCTATCTACTACCTCGGTGCAGGTACTAGTCTTATCCCTCCCCTGTCACTACACGTCCTTGCACCACACTCCTTATTATCACCCTCACCTTCTCACGTTCCTGTTCCTCTTAACCCACCCCGTAAAAAAAAAGGAATGTGAGAAGATTGTAATAAATGATAGAGAGAGAAACATCCAAAAGATGTATCGTTCTAGGAGATGTATAAAGCTTCAAGGCAATCCACTGCGCCATCTCTGCTGGGTAAGGTTGCTCACGAACGGCCCGGAGGAACGGCGCTTGGTGTGTATTGAGTATTATTATTATTATTCTGTGTTACGGGGGAAAAGGATCATGTGAAGATTAGTACCCCCAGTTTATATTGTCTGATGATTAAAACACCTTATTGCTACCTGGTAGAGGGGAGGGATAGGTTAGGTTTGCGTCAGGGTGATTAATCGTTAGGTGAAAAGTTGTGGGGGTCAAATGATCCCCGATAAAATAATTTGCGAATCTTAAAATCCGGGAATTACGCTTCCAGTGTATGTGCGACGTTAGTCCGACCAATCACTGTGCATCTTGGTGAAGAGCGACCAATCATTGCAGGTCTTGGTGTATAGAGAGCCAGTTAGCTCACGTCATGCTTGCTTATGTTTGGAATTTGATAACCGGCCAAGAACCCGGAACTACAGTATGATAGACTATTGTGAACCTCGCTTGGGGTCACACCATCTTTAAAACTCATGTAAATCAATCGTTATTTTCTCTCCATTAAGGTGATGAAAAACTACTCACCAACCTTTATTTTCTTTTTTCTTGTATTAATGTATATGTAATTTTCCGTTTTTTTATTAAAGTAAATTGGAAACTTTACAGAACAGTAACATTCTTCCTTACTTTCACTTCAAAGAAATGGTCCATGAAGCCTCATTCCCGTGTTCTGTTATAATGTTGTGTGTAATAGTACAATGTAAGGATCACCTGAAGATTAAACACCGTAAAGCTACCTGGGGGTTAGGTTAGGTTTGATTTGGTTAGTGTCAGGGTAGTAAGGTTAGGTGATCCCAAATTACGTCAATGTAATTTACATTTTCCCGTGTATGAGTGTAATTTATGATAACCTACGCAACCTTGATACAGATAGAATATATCAGTAATAGATTTGTTACGTGGAGCACTTACTGTAGTTTGATAATGAAGAGGAACGCCGGGGAAATCACAAACATATTGAGTGTTGAGTTGTTTAATTCAAGGAGATAATGTGGTACACTGTAGATAGATAGTAAGTAGTAGGCAGCAATCAAACAGGGAGGTACTACCGCCTGGAAAGATATTGGAAGCATAATGCATTGTCTAATGGTAGACCCTGCTGCCATATGGCACCACAAAAATTATGACCAAGTCCCAGGTTGCTGATCTGACTTTTCTCCTCATTTACACACAATTGCAGGGTCTCAATTGTTTCTCTTACTATGACAACACAACAAACATATATCGTTTCTCAATATTGATCTTTTTTTTCATTTTTGTATTTTATGGTTTATTATTAATATTATTATTATTAGTAGTAGTAGTAGTAGTAGTAGTAGTGTTATTATTATTATTGTTATTATTTATTTTCCAATTTTGTACATTTTAGTAAAAACTTTATTTACTATGAACTTATTATTATTATTATTATTATTACATTTTCGCCCTCCAGGGCCCGAAGTGGGTCAGTGACCTCTGCTCGGGTGGGCTAATCCCTGTAAAAAAATACTTAGATATAAGTAGATAGATAAATACATACATATAGATCGATGTATATATTATTAATAGACAAATGCAGAAATAGACGGATATTCAAATACTGTACTGTACACGGACAGGTCCTGATACATGTATAAACGGATATCAAATCAGGTGGATGAAAGAGACAAAAAAAATAGCCAGCTACAGACATTTCAGTATATGAAAAAAGTATTGAGTTAATCGTGACATGGTCAGGATGGCCGAGTGGTCTAAGGCGCCAGACTCAAGGTAACTTCCCTTCAGATAGAAGGGACATGGGCATTCTGGTCCTCTCTGAGGGCGTGGGTTCGAATCCTCTGACAAATGCTTATGTTCAAATGATCGTTGAACTAGCAAATGCATTTTAACAATGCAAACCGTAAGGCACTGCGCGTGGGATGTAATAACTCTAATTACAATTCTTTTGTGTAACACTTTCTTGGACGCTGTTGATAATAAAATATTTAAGTGTGGTGATAGATCAATCCAAGAAGGCAGCGCAACAAGTGGAAGCAGCAGTGCAAAAAGTCAACGGAACTTTAGGAATATAAAGTCGTACCTTCAAATACAGAGATATGAAAGTGATCCTTCAACTCTGTAAGTCTCTCGTGCGTCCCCATCTGGATTATTGTAATCAGCCGTGAGAACCTCACCTCCAGAAAGACTTAACATCACGAGAAGAGGCAACACAGAGCGACTAAGATGATTCCTGAACTACAGTATATTATATCGATTATCCAAGTAGACTGAGGGAGGACCTAAGGACTGACACTTCCAAACAAGACGCAGTAGGGCAGATCTCATAAAGATGTTAAGAATCTTGAAAGGGATGAAAAACGTGAACCCGGCAGAGGCTGATCTAGGAATATCAAAAGGGTGGTACAAGAAATTTTGGGTGGGCAAATATGGCGAGCACAGCGAGCCCACCCAGCTGTAAGCCCCCAGATTTATTTTATTTATTTTTTATCTGACCAATATCATGGGCTTTTTGAGGCCATTCTGAAGCCATGTGCACTTGATATTAGGAGATATTCTGAGGTCAATGGTAATTACTTTTCACCATACAAAAATGCCTGAGTACAATACTGCCTAAAAGAAAAAGTATTAGAAGAAAAGGAGGTGGACGGTCCGGTGCCCCCCCTCCCTGGATCCTCCCTTGCCCTGGCCATTTTTTCGTGATATCATGCTCCATCAACACGAGGGGACAACTTTAAGTTCAACAAGGTGCCATGTGGGATGAATATAAGGAATAACTTATTCTCACAAATAGTAGTAGACCTATGGAACAGTCTACCAGCTGAATAATAATATTTATATAATAAAATCTTACAAATTTACAATTGGTTTGGTGTGTATATATACAATGCAGAAATGTGTATAGACAAGGCAGGTATGCGGTGTACATAGATCGTGGAGGTATAAAGTTTTCAATATATACCTGGAGTGTAGGTATACATCAATAGTAACAGTATTTGCAGTAGGCTAGGGACCTTTACTTAAGGCTTAAGCAAATATCGCATGCAGTTTAACATTATAATAATATAAATAATTATAACTGTCTATATTAAAGTTAATTATCGTTATTAAGAAGTAATTAAAACACCTTTAAGTCTGAGGTAGATGAAGTAATAACAGTATCAATAATAGAAAACGGGAAGAAGAGTATTTGCTGTTCACCGAACCGGGCGGAGTTGCCAACTGCCAAGAACATAAATATTAATCATTTGTTGGTATACATGTGGTCGACTACACAGAATCTCGTTCACTAAGTGGTCAGGTGTGGCGTCACAAATTATCAGTTAATCTTCGCGGAGGGAGGACTGAGGAGGTGGAGGAAGAGGACTGAGATGGAAGAAGAGGAGTGAGGAGGTGGAGGAAGAGGTGAA